GGCGTCTCTATTTCTTGTATTTTCAGCATGTCCTACTTTCCAGAAAAGAAGTAAACCGGATGGTAAAGTCCCCTACAAAACGAATTGTACCTGATGATTTACGGGAGATCCACCTCTGGATATTCATTTTTTTCAGACCACCACGCTTTTTTGCTTTACATAACGAGCCACAAATTCATTAATCCGAGACCCAGGACACTTTGGCATCGCGATAATTTTCTGGCCCTGCAGGGTCCTTTTTCACTAGATCGTCAGCAGCGCTCCTCGTTTTAAGAACTTGATTAAATATCTTTTTTAAGGCAGATACTTGGACGCGAACCTGGAATGTGATTGGCCAATGGAGTATGCTGCGATCGTTGAAATAAGAGTGTGCAAAATGTGAGGCTATCGCTTTTGTAAAATGTGCCCATTGTGAACTGTCTTCCTGCCATCTTACTGTTTATTTCATGAATTGCACATTGATTGTCTCTTGTAATAGATTGTGTTTGAAATCAGTAACAAGTCACATTTTCAACATCCCAACGTATAATGTTTCTTTTCAACGAGTTGTTTCTTCCTTCATATTGAGATCCCCACCTTCTTATCATACTATTAGCTCATAAATACGTAAAACGATCATTTTAGCGACTTTTAGTGTTATGTTTCCAACACTTTTCTGACACTTTGTGGGCCCTATAGCTCCTAAACGCTTGTCCCTTTGCCCCTAAGATTTCACAGTTTTTTTTTACTTGTGACAGTAGTTTTAAGAAAATATATGGTTTTCCGGGAAACCGGTATCAAAGGAGAGAAGGTTTATTTGTGAGTTACAACTGAGTTGACAAACATTTTGCTACAATTTACTGCAACCAAACTGAGAAAAGGACATAGCATGGCATCGGATGTTAAAATAAGGTAGATTTCGATTATATGGAGTATATGAAGATTGTACTATTTAACTCAATTAAATAATCGACCCATATATACGTGTAATACGTTTAAATTAATTATACATATTTTTCTTAAGAAAGATATGTATAATTAATTACACTGAATGAGGTTTGCATTAAAAATTAATTTTAGAATTAAATAATAATAATAATAATAACCGAATCAGCAAAATATTTCAGATGTCTGATTATGCTGTTTTTACGTCAACAAATAACTGTTAAAAGTAAAATGCAGTGTAACTAGAATAAATAATAGTTTCATGAAAAATTTTACTGTCACTGCCTGTTATCACATCATTTCATGACTCAAATCATACTTGTTTTCTGCTTTACTGCATAGAAGGTTTTTCTGCTTTACTTCACTTTTGAATGTTATCTGTCCAGAAGCTACATAATTTTCCTTTTCTTCTTTAGAATTTAATATTTAAAGACACTTCATGTTTTCCCAAAATTTCTAAATTGTATTAGAAATCTGAATTCTTATTATAGCTTATTAAAAATTTAACTATTTCTTAATTTAACTATTTCTTAATTTAAAACCATTTGTTTTTCACTCAAAATAGAAATATTAAAAAAAACTGTTTAACTTGCCATATTGTTTTTAATTATTTAGCTTTTAACACTGTTTTCTCTTCTCAATTTCTCACTTCCTTAATTGCTTTTCTTCCAGAAAAAGACCTAAATCATTACATATGATAACTGGTGAAGAGAAAAACCGTCATAGTGCTATATTTATAGGACATTTAGCTATATGAATATTTTGTTCTATAAAGAAATGTTTCAGTTTGAATTAAAAACTTTTGTAAATTAAGACAATCATAGTTTCCAAATTAGTTAATTGCAACCTTAGTTTTCATATTAACGGTTTGTTGCTTTATCTGTAATACTGAACCAATAGTTATGTGTTGTAAGGATTATATTAATTTATCTAACACTTAAATTTTGAGTTAAACTTTCCTTCCTATATTTTCTGAATTTTAACTGGCAACTTCCGGAAGAACGTAGTTTTAGAATCATGTTTGAATGTAAATGAGCAAGAGCGGTATTTAACAGCGAAGTTCTTCCGTCTTAGAGAGAGAGAACCAAAGATTCTGGCTAGCACGCGTCCGCCTTTTTAGGCTACTCTCTCTTAAGCTATTATTACGCTCGGCTGTCCCTTAGGCCCTTGATAGCTTCGCAGTTTACTAGCGTTAAGGGGCCAACTCTATTAGACTTTTGATAGCTTCGACTACATCTTTTTAGTTAAGATTAGTTTAGTTAGTCTCATAAGTTCAAGCCCAAGTGTCGGCTTTATTGTACAACTCTAAGATGGAGTTCTGTTACACCTTATTGAAATAATAAAGGGTTATTTCACTCTTCTTACTTTTTGTTTCCTGCACTACAAACTCAAGCGATTATTCGCTTATCAGTTCTTAAGATTCTTCAAATTCAATTGTAACTTTAAAGTACGAAGTACAGAATCTTACAGTGTACAAAAATCACTGGATCAGAACTGGTTTTGGAAACTAAATTACAGAAAATACACATTTGCTTTTACTAATTACAGAAAATTACAGGAAACTAAATTACAGAAAATATATATTTATAGTTGTATCAGTTCGTGCATTCTCTTTCACCATTATTTCCCATTGACAAATGATAATTTTATGAGATTTTTAAGATATAAATTTAAAATAACTTAAAGACTCTCAGAGCTTCAGTATCCTTAAATAGTTGTATTAAGTAAAAAAATGTCGTATAACTTGTTACAGTAGCTGATTAATGTGAATAACTTATTTTAAATAATTCTGCATTTTCTAAACGCATTTTTCTGTTCTCTTAATTAGGGTTTAAATTTAACGCAGTTTTACACAGTTTATTATGCAAAAGCGTAACAAATTTGCATGAATTAATAATTCCAGTTCATAAATCGATTATTGTTGCAAAGTCTGAATTATCGAAAATTTGCATTACTCGCTTCTGAGAATAAACACTGTATTATAACCTTCACAGAATGCTTAAATACTGTCAGTAGCTCATACGGTAAACTGAGTAAAACTTGGCTATTTATGTGGTCAAATTCATAAGTTCCTATATTTAATTAACACAAACGGTGAGTCAACACTTATTGTATGCTGATGTGAATGATAGCAGTAAGAATTAATATATAATAATTGAAGTGAAATCTAAAAATTATTATTAGGAATGCATTGAGAACGAAGCGATTAGCGTTAAGTAAAATGACGGAAATGCATGAACTTTGTAGAAGTACCAAAAAAAAAAAAAAAAAAAAATCAGTGAAGATTCTTCGCTATCCACAAATTTCTGAAACGTAGAATGAAATCAGAACCATGTTTTAACTTAAGCATTTGGAATTATTTTAATATGATTTTACACAATAAAGATGAGGATATATAAGATACATGCATTCTTGTTATTCTTCTCATTTAACATAAATATGAAAACGGAAAGGAGTTCCAGTTGCCCGAAAGAAGATATCCAAAGTTCTAATTATGTAGATTATTTACTCTTTCTATGCTATCCGAAATTGATTTCGTTTTTATGTGATTTCATATTATATTTTACAATGTATACTTTTAAAAAGTTGTTAATTTAATCTAAATGAACCGCTTTGGAAACCACCGTACCGTTTTGGATAAAGTCAGACACTATATAATGATTGGGGGGGGAGGGGAAATGTGCGTAAATAAGGATTTGGAAGGTAATAAAAATATTTAGGAGAAGCAGTTATGAAATTAGTTTCAGATATTAAAATCTGATGGCAAGGCTCTAATGGTGTAGTTTTTTAAAAGTACTCCTTTTTTCTTTAAACTGGCCTTTAAGTTTCCATTTGATTTCTTTTCTTTGTTAACATCAGAAATTATTTCAACCCGTAAAGTGTAAAAGGCATCAAAGCATATTTTAGTATTTATTTTATTGTTTTATTACTAGGCTGGAATAAAAAGGACAGTAAATATAAAAACGCATTTATGCCTTTCATTTTAGAATCTACACAATTAAATCTTAATTTCTTTTATTTACTTTAGTCCAAGTGGAAGAATAAAAGTGGAAACAGTTTCCAAGTGGGAAACATAAAACTCCTCAAACATTAAAAGAAATATTTGTTTGTCCTGCATTAAAAGTCAGCTCAATTATCCGGAGTTTCATATCCTTTGATTGAATCTACAAGAATTGGCTTTTTGCTATAATGCAATTTCTGACAGAAATTATTTGTTTATTTAAATGCGACAAAGAACATGAGATCTGTCCCAATAAAAAGAATTCCGTGAAATTATATTTTATTAATATTTGCATTTCTTTTTTTCTTTTGCCTTATTTATTTTTTCAGTATTTAATTCTATGTTATCATTAATACGATAATTTTGTTACTGGCATCATGTTTTGTTTTACTATTGAATTTGTGTGAATGGCAACAATATTTTTATTTATGTGTATTCCTTTTGGTATGGAATAGTTTTCTTAGCCGCACTGTGAGTCAGGCATTTTTTCTGTTAAAAAATTAATTTAATGTTTATTTTAATGTTTTAGAATGTTAATAAAGTTTGTCTACAGAGCTCATTCCTTTTAGTTCAAGGCCACTAACACTGAGCTCATTCTTTTTTATCCAAGGCAATTAAGAGTCTTACACTTCCTTCTCGATATTAAAGAATAAATTTTAAATCTCCATAATTTACCGAAATTTTTCTAGACAAATTAGTGAATGTAGTAAAAAAGTAGTGAATGTGCAAGGCATAAATTTCCCAGCACTCGAGAAAAATTTGCAAGTTCCTCTCTGTTTATACGTACACATGAACACTAAATATCCCGCAATGTTCGAAACTCTAAAACTTTCATAATATCTATAGAATCTTTGCATCACCCCAATGTATTGAATAATTTTCCCCTTTCAATTCTTATTTAATTTGAAATTTGATGTTTTATTTTCCCCTTCCATTTTAAAGTCTGTGTCAGTGACTGGCGAGTTCACAGTTTGTAAATGCTTTAAAACTGATTAATTCACAACTTCAATATAAAGACCTTTATTTTTTATAATAAAATTCCGAAGATGGAATAAAACAAACAAAAAGTAGTTCGTTTAATTGTTTAAACTCATTTAATATTTAAAGCAAAGTTCTACAAAGTGGATAAACCTAGGTACAAGTTGCCGGGGCTCCAAAGTTTACTTTTTCTTGGTCTGAAAAGAAGAGAAAAAAATTAGATTTTGAGGAAACATTAAGTGTTAATAATATAAGGTCTGAAATAAAATCCCAAATACATAAAAAGTATTTTGTTGCCGTATGACAATAAATATTTCAAAAAATTAAGAAGGAAAAAATTGATTAACTTGGCATGCAAGAAAGATCTCTCTGAAAATGAAAAAGAATTTCTAATTTTATTATTATTATTATTATTATTATTATTATTATCAAATAAAAAATCTATTTTAATTCAATAGAGATATACACCGCGTCCACAAAAGTTCTAATTCGGCCTTCATTTTTACAGCAGTTTGTTGTAGACATGTAACTTCCAGTTACAAAAACGTTTTAAATAACGAAAAAATTCTTGCTTTTCATTTTTAAATTTAAAGAAGTCAATTTTTAAAAATTACGAAATTTAAGTTTTTGCATTTCCACTGTCTTAATACTTGTATTTAGGGAATGTTTGTACACCTAATAAAAAAAATTAAACACAAAATGTTTGAATCACGTACGATAAAAAGTGACCGAGTTATCTGATATTAAAGACGTGTACAATAGGAAAAGCGAAATGTTTGTATTTGTACGTAATTAAAAATAAAATATCAGTTTAGAAAAATGTTTCTGATGTTAAGACATTAAACGATGAGAATTTCTTTACAGGTTGTTGTAAAAAGTATTGAAAAATTATATTATAAAAGTTTTATTCACAGAATCTTACATAATTTATATTCTAGAAATCACTAACATGGTTTGTATGATTATCAAACTCTGATTCTAAAGTAATAAAACGTCATGTGAATCTGAATAACTATCTGTAGACTGTAGACTTTGAAAATGTGTAATTAAAATTTATAAAAATGTATATCTGTAGACTTTGAAAATTTGTAATGAAAACTTATAAATTACTTATTTGAAAATTCTTTTAACGTACCATATGTGACAAAATTATAAATTAAAGACACTAAAATGATAATAGAATATCATTGAATGAAATTTAAACGGGGAGGTCAACCTTCAATTATTCTAGTTAATTATTAACTAACATGCAAATGCAAACTGAAAATGATGACAATGCAAATTGAGAATGACGTCAGAAATGGCAAATTTTGAAATTAAATATCTCCGTCAGTTTGTTTAATTTTTTATAAGGAGTACATAATTTTCCTATATAGAAACACGGAGACCAGAGTTATGCATAAAAGTTAGATTTCGTATTTTTATAAAACTGACTTTTTAAAATTTAAAATGTTAAAATAAAATACCAAAATATGAATCTTTACGTCATTTAAAATATTTTTTTTATATTTGAAAGTATATGGCTACGACCAGTGATTTCGAAATTAAGAACTGAATAAGAATATTTTGCGTATGTCATCATTAAAAGAGTTTGTTAGAAAAACTCTTTTTTATTATAAAAAATTATAAAAACTTTTAATTAGAAATTAGGCTTAATTAGACTTAATTAGAAATTAGTCTCTTAATTAGAAGAACTTTTAATTAGAAAAACTCTTTTTACTCTAAAAAAATTTTTTAAAACTCTTTTTTTTTAACTTTTTAAACTCTTTTAAACTTTTTAAAAGTTAAATTGATTATAACGTGCATTATAAGCATGCTATACAATTTTAACAGGTACAGATTATAAAATTTAAAAAAATTGCCTCTAAACACTACTTTTTTTCCTTAGATTAAGACGCCTTTTTCTCCATCGTTTCGTGCAGCAAATGTCAAAATACATATTCTGTGTGATTACATATGAATTTCCGCTTATGTTCATGAACCAGTATGATATGTCATCAGTGCTATTCTGGCTGGCATTTTGCATCTGAAAACGTTTTAGTAATGCCCCAGTTTTAAAGAAGAGGAAATGAACATATACATGGCAAATACAAATATATATAACCAGCTCTAACCTTCTTTGTAGAAAGCTTAACATTTCTTTGTAATCTTTGCTGAAGGCGCTGTGCTCTTAAAGCTTCTTCCGCTTTACGTTCACTTAGTTTCTTTTCTGCTTCAAGAACCTACATAAAATATTAAGTACAAATTTATCCATATTAAAAGATATCGGTATTCTAAGGATGCTAAATGCAAATATGTTTCAGCGGTGTTATATATAAACACATTTCTATCTACAGAAGTCGCGTAAAAAAGTGATTTATAGCAAATATATTTATTGGAGATAATACATATCCGAACACTTGTAACGTTAATTAACCCATTATTTTATCATTTGAATTATATTATTACTTCTACTTTCCGTTAGCTCCCACCAGGACGTAAATGAGTTCGGTGTAGATAAAAACAAAGCTCTTGAATGTTAAAGAAAGAGTTTTGACAGCGACGCTGACAGTTGAATTATCCGCTCTTCCAGCTCTCAGAACTCCGTTAACCACCGTATCTGCCAGCCGAGTTACTGGCGAATTAGTTTAGAATTGAGTTAAAGTTTGTTAGGCTTTTCCATTTGCAAATATACAACTTTAAATTACTGTTTAATTTAAAATCGCATTTTATGTGATCTGAAATCTCACAAGCTTCCCAAATAAAATTGTGACCACAAGTTGCGCACCTATTATGCTCAAAACGTTAAATAAAAAAGTTTCTTTAAATCTACTTCTGAGTGGGTAGCTACCAATTCAGAAGGGGCAATAAGTCACCTGAGAATTTTGATAGATACCAAGTAATTAATTAAACGAGAATAACCCTGCAAAGTCATTGGAATTTCAAAACTTAAGCCAAAAGAAAGTAGCTAAATTTAGTTCTTTGTTTGTCTGGCTTTAGCATTTATAACTAGGGATTCGTAATTTTTGTATTTACAAAATCGATAAAAATAAATGTGAAATTTTCTAGTATTAGAAATTGAATGCGAAAAAATAATTATGAATTTTTTTGTTACTATACTCACTGGATGTGAAGACTGCACCTCGAATATGGGTTTCCTAAGGGAATGATTTGAAAATAAAATTCTCTCACGTAAAACACTGGTTCAAATGGTCCTCACACTGTCATCAAACTTGTCGGAGAAAGTCATTTTTTTCTATTCAAGGTACCAGTGCGTTCGTTCGTTGCTTCCTTGCAATCTCTGGCGTTAAAATGGAAAGACAATGGAAATCGCAAAAGGAGAAGCCAAATCTTTCTGTACAGCAATCGTCAAAAACCAGTTCTAGCACACAACGACCGATGTCACTGTCCTCTATTGTTATGCTAATGCAAAATCTATTAAAATCTTTCTTCTAATAGTCCATAATGCAAGATGAGTAAAAGGTAGGTCTCCCTGAAGCAATATTTGTTTATACACCTTTTTAAATTGCACCTTAATTTCTCCATTAGTGCTTATTCGCATTAGGTCTTGTAAAATGACATCCGAATCTTCAATGTCACCGTACGGATTGATAATCCGTTGTGGTATTTCCATAGTTAAAACATCCTCAAACCTAATTTTAACACCTGTGTGAAGGGAAACCTGTGATTAATTGGGAAACTAAGGAAAATTCCACCGTCCAATGTTTTGCTTCATTAGGTTAATTCTGGCAATAAACATGCAATGATGGACTCAGTTTTAATTAAATTTACCTTGTAACTGCGAGTTAACCTCATTTAATTTAGTAAACAAATATGTTAAATGTTTGGTTTCCATTTAAATAAATATTTTAATGGAATTTTTAGTTACAAAAACTTTAAAACAGTCTCAAAACGGAAAAGACATCAGGGTCTACATTTATGCTCCCTAAACAAATAAAACTGTAGGAAATCATACATAATCAAACGAACGACACTTTATCTTTTAGTGACCGATCATTATTTAATCATTTGCCTTTTTTTATACATATTTCTATCGGATTGCCTGCCTTTGTGCTTGCTGATTTCTTTGTTTGAAAATGGAATAAGACTGGTGTAATGAATTTAATTACTAAATTTCCATAAACAAAACAGACTAATTTACAAGTTTCGTAATGTTAGTAACTGAATCCCATCTGTACTTGAAAATCAATAAAATCCTTATTATTTTGAAAGCTTTCTGATCTTTAATTGTATACTAAACTCAATAAGGAAGGAAGAATGTTATTTTTATTTACTTACTTTGATACATTCTTTTACTTTTCTGAGAGGATACATCCCCATTTCATTTAAAAGCTCTTCTATCCAGTGATTAATCGCAGTTCTCATTAAATCAGGGCTACAAAAGTAAAAAATACAATTTTCTAAATAAATAAAAGAAAAGCGAAATTTTATATACTGGTACAGATAAAAAAAAAGATGCTTAACTCAACAATATGTGCTTCACTTCCGGTGCAAAGTTTATACAAGCCAGCTAGTTTTTCCATTTCGTTTTCACGATATTTGACTTTGTTAGTTCTTTCTTGTTCGAGATGACTGCAAGAAAAATGTATTTATTTATCATTACCTTAAAATACATGCCACTAAAAATATTGGTACTCTATGTAAACAGAGTTTCGCAGACAAGTTTCCTATGACTGTATGAAAAGAGATCCCTATAAAAACTGTCATTAACCAGAGTAAAACGAAGAAGAAATTACCATTAATTTATACATGGAAATTTCAAAATTCTCCCAATTCTTATAAATAGCGTAGCCAAATTCCGTACAAAACTTAAAATAGCAGTATAGTAAAACGATCATGACATGATAAATACACAACACGTCTTCTCTATCACTAGAAAGAATCTGTATGCATGTGTACGTACGTTTGCTTATTTCGCTCATTGGGAGAAAACACACACCTAGAGCCACCAAATTCTGAACTCACGTAGTCTTCCATCAGAACATGGGCACCTCGAAACCCGAATTTTGTGTTTCGAATTTTTTTTTTTTCGTTTGTTTTCTGTTTTATGCAAATTTAATGGACTTTTGATTAACAAATTCAGCAATTTAAAAGCAGTGTGTTGTCACTCAGCAAAGAATAAGGTACACTAGCTTCTAAAAGTTAAGCACCCGAAGGTAAAATCGACAGAAATGGGAAAGTTAACACCAAATTGCACATGACGGTAACAAATGTGGCTATGCTTGAAATAAAACAAGCATTATGCACAAAGAAGAAAACGATTTTTAATTTTCGTAACTTATGTGATGATGTCATATTTGAGACATTAACAAATTGATGTTCAAATCTAAAAGCAAACAAACAAAAATTACATTAATAAAGTATGTTTCCACCTCGGGCCTACAGACAAATTTTACAGGGATTGTCCATGCTTTCAAAGAGATAATCAAACATCGTATATGTTAGCAATGGCCATTCCTTCAGCAGGGCAGTTTCAACTGTCTGAGACTAGTGGAAGAAATAAATGTGCAGACAGCATGCCCGAAGGCAACTGAAAAATTTTCAGTGGGATTATAATAGTAGGAATACAGCGACCATTCTGTAGGAGAAAAGCCTCACTCTCTAAGCAACGATTTTAGATAAATGGAGAGGGCATTATCATCCATACGAAGAAACTCAAGATCAACTTCTGCATCACAGAGTCTCGCAATCGGATACAAGTCTTAAGTCTGATGCCGCACAACCATTATGGAACCGTCTTAAAACTTTTGTAATTGGGCGCGATATCCTATTGATATTGCAGCCTATAACATGCTGTTGCCACTTCTGAATGCGTAAAGTTCGTTGAAGTTATTTGAGGCTGATTTCATGAGCCTCTTTCTCTCCAAAACCTTACACACTTATCAACTGATTCCAAGGCGAACCTGGACTCTTCCCTGCGCAGGACATTGCGCCAATCTGAAAAGTCCTATTGAAATGTTCACGACACCTCTTTAATTTTGCCCCTCTAGATTCTGCAGTTAGTTGGAACACAAACGCATGGTACTTGGGAAGATAGTCCCTTCATGTGAAGCCTTTAGAACACAGTACTCGCAGACATTGTCTTATAAATTAAACCTGCAACCATGGATATAACAGCTGTGAAGGTCACTCGCTGATTCCACTTGTTTATTATTGCAGTATACCGATTTTCAGAAAGGGGGACAACCTTTGTTCTACCGAGCGCAGGTTGGAAAAAAAATAAGAAAGAGAGATGATTGCATTCTCCCAGTTTTAACAACAATCTTAAATAGGTACTGACGAAAGGTGTGTGTGTTGGTGTATTTAATTATGGCAAAGCTCACTAGGGCTATCTGCCTAAGGGGAGGGGTGCCTTCGTGGAGGACTTTCTAAGGGAAACTGGCTCGTATACACGTTACACATGGGGAAAACCACGAAAATACTCATGCAGCCAGCCCGTTCGCGGGATTCGAACCTCGGACCGAACTACCAGTGTTCAGCGACTTTACCGCTCGGCCGCTGGTGGGCCCGTACTGACGAAAGGATAAGAATGTTAAGGATTTAACATTCATTTAAAAAGTTAAATCATCAATATTCTTAAAAGATATTTGTAGATTAATATGCTTTTTTGCTTTTATATGTGAAATATAAGAAATATTGTTTAAATGCATTATTTTTAATTGTAAAAAATAGATAAATCGGAGTTTAAAAGGGAATAAATTATAGAGACTGATCTGGAGAAAAATTTAGCCCATCTGAGATAGCATATTCCTAGATATTTTATAATTTATAGTAGTAATAACGTGGTTATTTTATAAGTAAAATAAAATTAGATTTTAGAAAGTAAAATAAAATATAAATGCAATTAAATAAGCTTTACCTCACTTTTTCATTTAATTCTTTACAAATTTTCTTTTCAGTTTCTAATTCTTCAGTAGCCTGAGCAAGCTTTTGATTCCACATTTCCAATTCTTGTAGCCTATTTAAAATAAATATTAGCCTATTTACTTTACATACTTTAAAATTGCAACAAATCAGCTTAAGATATTTTATTAATGCATAGAATTGCTTTTCTTTCTCAAAATACATAGAATTATTAGGAAAGTTTAGTGTCCTTTGTTTCCATAAAAGAGCTTTATTAATAGCATTTTCATATAATATTATCAGTAATTTGTTTATTCCTGTCTATAAGTATCGAGCACATGATGAATAATTATTGGTATATTTATGGTGCTATGCAATTTTTGTTGAACATAAATTTCTAAATTTCTAGCTACCCTATGCACTTTGTTTCGTTTGAGAAAATCTAATAACCACAGTTAATTTTAAGAAGATATCGTTATAGGATATTGACTTTTGTACCAAAAGCTAGTTCTTTATACAAACTAACAAAATTAATTTTCTGCCAAAAAATTCCCATACATTCATAATGCGAAAACATCTGATGCCGACACTACATGACTTCCTTGTGCGGCCGATTAAATTATACATATTTTCTGCTGCATTTCATTTAAACTTAGTTTCTCAAATTTCATTAGAGATATATTTCTTATTCAGGTCTCATTTAATTCAGGCCTTCAATTAATTCAGAACTCACTTTGTAGCAAAGCAAAAATACATAAAAATTCAAAACATTTTCATTAAAAATTGAAAAATATTTTTAAAGAATAAATAAATACCGTTTAAACAGTTAAAAAATTACAATTAAAATTTGAGTTTTTACACGAAAGCAAGCAATTCGTCCAGGGAGCAAGAACAAAGTTTTCAGTGCACAAAACTGAAAATTTACTTTTGGTACCACTCGACAAAAAGACACTTAAAGTGCAGAAACTGCCTTAACTTACCATTCTACTGAGCTTCAAATGTAAATAAATGGCGGTTTCTTAGTCTTAATTCGCCCCAAACTTTTAAATTGTTAATAATTCTATAACTATTGTATGCAGATTAACTAAAGGTATAAAAACCTTAACCAGCACATAAAAAATATCTAATTCAATCATTTTTAAAGGAAAAAATGCCTAGTTTACCAACATATAAGAATAAAAGAAGTAATTGAGCCAGGTGACAAAGTGGGAATACACACATATATATATAAGATTGGTGAAGCCGATTGCAACGATAAAGGAAGGTGCACAACTGCCTATTTTAGCAGTCCCGTATACAAAATTTCAACGTTCTACGACTACTCGTTTTTGAGTTGTGCGAGATACATACATACATACATACAGACGTCAAGGGAAAAAAATCTCTTCTGAATCCATTTTAAATCTATTTTACAATCCTTTTTGTCAAAACAAAATTAGTCCTTTATTCTGTCCGTCCGTACAGATGCCACGCGAAAACATAGTTCAAATGATTTCGTGAGCGGTTGAAATGGCTATTTTCATCGAAATATGATAGCCGACATTTTTTACTATTACAATGCTTCTTTTACTTCGTACAAGGAAGTAAAAAACATGTACGTTATTTACATTAATCAGTTTTATTTTATAGCTTCAGTAAATAAAGTTACCACTGTGTAAGAAATAATAATTCTTTCTTTTAAGTAAAGAATTGGTTTTCGAAAATATTCGTAAAAATCCAACTTACAGCTTTTCTTTTGCCATCATAACTTCCTTTTTCTCAACGGCAGATGATCTTTTACTGAAAAGACTGTTATGAACTACGGAGAGATTGCTCTCTTTCAGGCGCTCGATTACTTTACAAACATCTTCCACTTTAATATTCACATCTACTGCTTCCTGCATCATAGGAATAAAATATTAAGCAAATATTTGTGTTTAACTAACAATTTAGATTTCAAGCGCAGTTATTCCCCTATTTAAATGAGGGTTAAATACCATGAAATTTCATAAGATTGAATTTTATGTGAAATCAGTATCTCTTATATTTCTGTCTAATCCATACAATAAATATTTCAGTTCTCTAAGCTCGGAAGGATTTTATTTGATTTCTAAAGAGTGACCTCTGCACCCACTTCTGATAACAATGGCACTCTTTGTAAAGAGGTCTTGTTCCTTCTCGGGGGTGAAAGGCACCACTTAATCTTCACGTGAAATTGTGAAATGACACACTTAAAAGAGTTAGAATAGCTTCGTTACTCATTGAAGGAGGGATTACCTATTTATTATGTATATAGATATTTTACTGCAAACTGTGAAATAGCATTTTCTAATTATGTTTGTTTACAGGCTGAATGGTATGATGTATGATTGGGTTGTATTAGTAAACAGGAAAAAAGTGTTAATTGGAAGAGTAAAACGTCAGTGTAAAGTTTAAAATTAAATGAAAAAAAAAGCATTCTCATGCGAAGATTTTAAATAAAATTATCTTTACTTTGAGAGCAATCGGATGTATAACACACTTTTTCAGGGGCAACACAGTTTTGCGATGTACAAAAGAGATTGTGTTCGAACTTGTTGTAACGAGGTCTACAAGTCGAAATCATGAGAGTCACGCGCTCCAGGCAGGCTCTAAATCCAGAATGGAAGACAATTTCTTTGAATGGAATGCCATTATTTCATTATTTGGATTCAAAGAAAAGCTCTGTAAAAATGTAAAATTATTCTATGTCTCAAGAGGACAAGTCCTGAAAATTTTGATAATGTGGCCCCTTATTTAGTAATCCTCCATTGACAAGATAGTAAGTCTTTCGATTTGCTTACAGTGCCTCATAATGATTTCTGATTTTAATTTCAAACATTTCTATCAATTATTATCGCCCTAGAGCCAAACTTTCTGTGTTTTATTTTTTTAAAACGAGTGCAATATTTGCTTAAATATAAATATAGGAACAGGAGTAATTTGTAGAAATTTAGATTTTGTATATTAAAGATTAATTTTTTTGAATTAAAATTTTATGAATAAAACATGAGTATTTGAATCATTTGAGACATTTTTTTTTGTAGTTAAAAGTATGCCTTTCTTAATGGACAGACACTTTATTTTATAACCATTAGCCTTGCGTTACTACAAGGGCCGGGCTTCCATAATGCCACCGTTGTTCCTGTTAAGGGACGGACAGTTACAACCATGGGACTCGAATTCGGGCCCATCGCTAAGGCAGTCAGGGTTCCTAACCACTAGTGGTTGGGCGTCGTTGGAAATATGTCTGCGACTAACAATTTCGTATATATATGCCGTGGTATTTCGGTATACGCCTATAATCTGTTCCAGTTCCCTGACCAAATTAATTCGTTTTTATCAAAAAGGTCCTACTGTTATTATTATAACATTACAATATAAAATACAGACGCAGTGGGTGAAATATGTAAATGAAAATTTACCACATTTTATTTATCTCTTTTCTGCTCCTTTCTTCTGTCAAATCCGTAGCTGGATCTGGTTTAGATCACTAGGTCTGTCCTTTACTAAAATCTCTTCTAAGAAATTTGCTGTAAAACCTCCTCAGGATGTTTCGGAGATGTGGACGTTTTATGCTCATTCCAAGCAATGCTTTACGGCTTGCTGAACTTTGTTAAGATGGTACTCCTGTGTAAAATCTTTTGATATCCATCCATTTGGTGAAGATTTGTTTGATTAAGAAAATAGGAGCTTCTTCAAGCTCCTCCTCATCTAAGCCTGAACAGAGTTTATCCGTCTTATGCACCTTCTTCTCAAGTTCCTGCAGATTCTCAGCGGTCAGCGGACCTGTGGGTTTAACCAATGTGAAGAATATTCTTAACTGTAGACACAAGGTATATTTCAATCACTGTTTCAGTGACAAATTCCTCCAAAACATACCGAAAGCAACCAATATAAACGACGCCAAATTTGGCTGAATACATGTTTGGTTCCAGAGGTTCCCGTTACATTTATTTTCGTGCTTTCGTTCAAAACTGCTCTTAGCATTCTCTCGAAAGAGGTAAACAAGTGGAGTTGTGCTGGCAGTCGGGACTCGTCGAACTATAGTTGTATTCCTAAGAAATATCAAACATAAGAAAAGTTTTCATGTACCCAGAAAGGATGTATATCAAATTGGACTTATTTTAAAGCGGAGTTATGCCGAGGTACCACTCAGGGGGTACTAAGCGGCACTTCAGGGGAGACTGCGGGAACAAGAACCCAAACGCCAAATCCTGGTGACGACGAACTATCTCAACCACATTTTACTTAGACTGGCGCTGTAAAAGTCTGTTTAGAATATTTTGAAACTGAGAAACCTGAAGAATCAACTGTGCCATTGCCAGAATTCAAACTTCTGACCTCCTGATTGCTAGAAGGACGTACTTTCAATTACGCCATGAAGGCACGCGGTAAAGATGTAGAAAATATCATACGCTTTATGTGCAAAAGTGTATAAGAAAATACTAAAGACAGAAAAATGAAAAAGTCATATACATAATAAACAGTAAAAATTATGTCAGTTACAGTTATGCAGTAATAAAAGTAACATTACAAGCGATGTATAAGAACTATAGTGCAACATTTTGAGAATATGACAGTGAGTACATAGATTGCTGCTTTATAGAAAATTCTAGCTCTTTTTACCATAAATCTCAAACCCGACTAACTAATAAATATACTTCCCGTATTAAACATTTATTATCATTTTTAAAAATGAAAATGCTAATGATTTTCATATAGTAAAAAATAGCCATTGGGATGTGTTCATAATCGATCGATAATTTTTTAATTGTTTATTGAAGTTTCAATATTCTTATATCACTCTCTGAAGTATAGGAAATTAAAAAGATGAGAAACATAACGTTTAATTCTAGATTTTAATCTTTTCTTTCCTCAGATCAGACGTTCGTAATAATCATAATGACTTCAAGGAATTTAAACCAGGAGAACAGGACAATTATAACTACGATGAAAAAAAAAATATTACTCACGATCGAGTCTCTTGATTTAAGCAAATCTTCTAATACATTCCTAAGCAAAGAAAAATTGCCATAGAGTTTTATTATAAGTCCATCAATACAGATTTAGTATTAACATTTATAATTAATGAATTAATAGTTAAATAACATATAAATGCAAAGAATGGTTTACAAAAGACAAATTATTTTTAAGATGTATATATGTATATATGAGAATTGTCAACATTTGTTTGTTATTTATTTTATTACTTTCTTTTTGAAATAATTTTCTTTTGCTTCGGAACTAATTTCCAAGTTTAAATTTTATATTATTTCTTTATTTGTGTTATTCATGTTACGTAACTTGCTTCTTTTGATAGAGAAGTGTACCCTATCTCTGTATCCTATATGTAAGTGTTCTTTATAAATTAATTAACTAATTTCGCAGCATTTTTCCCAAGACTGGTAATATTTAATTAAATAATCTTCAATTAATTGTCTACCTGTCCCTAAAGATAAAATATATAAAGCAAAGCTCTAACTTTAATTTTCAATAAAGCTTTAATTCTATTTTAATTTGGTTATTTCCTCTTTCCGTACTAAAAGTAATAATTGCTTTTAATAAGCCTCTCTAAACTGCATCATTCTATCTCACATGATTACACAAAGCTCCTAATGCAATAATCAATAATAACTTACTTGTGATTGGCTAATAATAAATTTCAAAGGAACTTTATTATTAGCCAATCAAAATATAGCTAAACCAAAGCTAAACCACTCTGAACTAAGATTTCGTCTTCAATTCGTCACATTCACTGTCTGTTAAATCGCTGTCGCTACTTTTCTTATCGCAATATATAATAAATGTAAAATCTCTTCAAGAATAAGCACGCATCTGCTCCTAATTATGTATAGATGCAAATACCAAGAATAAAAGAAACATTTAATGAGTCTTGATAACTGTTTCTATCTTTATGCATCAAGATTAAAATTATTGCATAAATATACATTATATGGGAATTTTATTTCAGTGTTATTTGTTGAAAAGGAAGGAAAATATATCTCAAACGTATTGTTTGTTACAAAAAATGAAAATGAATTAATTAACGGGAAGCTTGATTTGACTAATGCTTTGATTTGGTCATCCAGTTACTGAGATTGGACAACTTCGAGAATCTTTGGACTGCAAACGATGTGCAGATGAACAAACAGAGAAATCAGAGGAATAGAAATGCTTATCGAAGTCCATCCATACTTGCATTTGCCTTTGGTCTGTTGGGACCAAATTACGTCAACTAACAGCCTTGCCTACAATTATGGCGATCTTCCTTGCTTCACTGCAACACCCAGTGAGCATCTGTCACATGGTCTGTTTGAATAAAGGTTTCTACAGCTTTCGGTGCAATCCACAACTGCGGCAGCGTGCATTCCATGATGCATTAAGAAACGGACTGGGAAGATACGGATATGCCATATATGCCCACGTGCATTCTGGCAGGTTTGGCAGCTCATGTTAGTAGATAAAATAGAGCCATCCTATGTATTTTACATATATCACTTATGAAAATATGCATATAATTTCTTAGAAAGTGATATAAAAGATATTCATTTTACCAAGAGATTAGGTGATATTGCCTTTCTTCTCCGTATATCTAGCATCAGGAGATGAATCAAAAATTTCTTAGCCAATTTATATTCCAAACATATATTTCCTTCTCTTTATTAATTTAATAAATATTTTGCTTCTCAACGAAATTATGGTTTTCGAAATAATAACAATTTAAATATTTCTTACTTTTGTATTTGTAGACACTCAGTATCACATGTTGGACCAAAGCTTCTTAAAAATTCTAATGGAAAAATCGTCAATGTTAATAACAAAGAAAAAATTTGCAGTTAACACAAGACAGTGTTATTTTTATCGTACTTTTTTCTAAATAAAAAAATCAAATAAATTACATTAAGTTGTTTAAAAAATTATGAAAATGTAAATTCCATATTACCTTTAGATTTCGGAAAAGGTTTCCTTTCATTTTTCTATATATAAAAACATTGCACATTAATTGTAATGTCAATTATATGTCATAGATAGAAATTTCTTATCGTTAAATCATGTACTAAAACTAAATTATTATTAAAATTAGACAATCACTGTTATCAAAAAAAGAATAAGCAAATAATAAATCACAAACAATAACTGAGCCCTACAATTGTAATATATTGATCATCCGAAAAGTTCTGGTTTATTTATGATAAATACAAAGGAAGCAGTACCAAAATATAAGAAACTTTCATTGAATCACATAAGCACCATTTTATTCTGTGACTTTTCTGCGATTTCTCAAGGAACTGGAAAATTCCCTTTTTACTTCCTGGTACAAAGTAAAGGAAGTATTGTAATCGCGAAAAATTTCGGATATCATATTTTTAAAAAACTATCCATTTTGACCTCTCTCGAATACCATCTCTACCTCGTGATACCATCTGAACGATGTTTCTGAGTGACGTCTGTACTCATCAACAGAAAAAAAGGACTCTTTTTTTCCAAAATGGATGGTAAAAGAGCTTTAAAATAGATTCAGAAGAAAGTTTTTCTTGACGTGTGTATGTATCTCGCATGACTCAAAAACGAGCAGGCGTAGAACGTTGAAATTTTGCATATGGAACTGCTATAACATACAGTTATGCAGCTCACGTTTTCGTTGAAATCGGGAAGCACCAAACATATATATATATATATACGAAGTTTGTTTCTCGGCTCGATGAGCTCAGATTTTTTATTCTTATATCGTGGCAAATTGTGAATTTTTTACTTTAAAAGTGATTGGATTATGTTGTTCTTAAGCTGCAGTTAAGGGTTTATGCCTTTAGTTAATCTATATGCAATAGTTGTAGAATTATAAACTCCGCCCTTTAAAGGCCCTCAATGGATCCACTACATGAAAACTGAGAAAGCAGCATCTGAAAGCTCTCATCTCTTAACCCAGCATCTGGAATTTTAATTTCGCACCAACAACATTCATGGCACTGCCACAGAAAACATTGTTCACCAGCTTCACTCCACTTTCTCAACAAGCCCAAGCACGGACAACATCATTCCAGCCTTACCTTCAGAAGTCCATGCTATTATCAAGAAACTTAATAGAAAGAAAAGTACATGCCTTGATGCAATTACCAACTGCATGATCAACAGGTTCCCACTCAAGTGTTATCTATATCTTCATTCTCACGAAATGTGTTATCTATATCTTCATTCTCACGAAAATTAGTAACATCATTCTTCACTGGTAGCACTTCCTGCAGTCCTGAAAAACTTCTAAAACCGTACCAATTCTAAAGCCTGGCACGTCTGCAGCAAAACCTGAGTCATACAGACCCATCAGTCTCCTATCCTCCATCAGCAAGATCTTTGAAGCAGTACTCCTTAGACGTATCAATAACCATCTGGATACAAACAATATTATCATCCCTCATCAATTTGGTTTCCGGAAACATCTCTCTACAACGAACCAGCTCTACAGGGTGACTGAGACCATTTCTGAAAACATGGCTACAAGAAAAGTCACAGGTGAAGTACTCATTGATGTAGCTAAGGCTTTTGATAAAGTATAGCTGGATGCCCTCACATACAAATTACACCTGAGTTTCGCAGACTACATCATAAACATTACTAATTCCTACCTAATAGGTAGACACTTTGTCGTTCACACATCAGGAACAAATTCTACCTCACACCCTATCCCTGCTCGCGTCCCGCAGGGATCCTTGCTTGGACCTACATATTTTAATATATTACTTGAACGACATTCCCACCACACACGACACAACACTAGCTATGTATGCAGACGATACAGCGATTCTTGCACAAAGTGCATTCATTGGTCCAGTTATCCAACAACTGCAAAGTTACATGCACACACTAGAGGTTTTGCTCACCAAATGGAAGATCCTGGTTCGTGGAGAAGACGAAAGCAGTTCTGTTCACAAGAAAGACCAAAATCAGAAAGAACCTGCAATTCTATAATACCAGCATTCCATGGGCCAAGCAAGTCCTTTATCTTGGGATGATCCTCAATAATACTCTTATTCCCACACATCACTTCTATTATCCAGAAGTTTCGAGTTCTTAAAGTAAAACCCTATCTCGTAATTGCTCGGAACAGTGTGTTATCTATAGACAACAAGTTACGTATTTACAAGTCCATTCTCAGGCCATTACTATGTTATGCAAGTCCAGTTTGGGCCCATACAAAAAAAAAAAAAAAAAAAAAAAAAAAAAAACTTCACGTCTGTCAAAATAGTGTCCTAAGAGAAATCATTAATCTCGAATGGTACATTAGGAATAATAGAATCCATGAGGAACTTGACATGGAGTTGCTTAGGACTCATTATTATAAACTTGAATATTATTATAAACTTGAAAAAAATTTTCATAACAGACAGCAACTTATTGACAACCCCAGCATAAAAATATGCAGTTATGATTACAATGACTTAACCAACATCGACAGGCCCCTGGTCCAGCTAAATACCTGGAATATTATGTAATCCTCACCTTGTTTCTTCCTGCCTCTAGTTGCTATGTACCATCATTTTGCTGTATGACTGTATTATATGTTTGTATATATGTAAAATTATTTATCATTTTCTATCGTGCATATTTGTATTGTGTATTTTTTTTCGTATTTCTTATTATTATAGATTCAGGCTACTAGTAGTTGCATTATCTTACCATGTGATAGTTTACCGTTCATACCAGCTCGACAGCCTCTGTGCCTAATCTAATTAACAGCTCAACAATTTCCCAGTTCATCTTTTGCTCATCTCTGTTAGTTTTTAATTTGCATTTGATCGTATCAAAATTTAAACTGTAAGTACTATTAAAAAAAATTATATCCTAAATTGGCAGGTTAATCCTATGTCAACTTTTGAAGCAGCTAACTATTCTACAAGGGGTAGAGCCTATTCTCAGGCACCCTGGTGTAGCAAGCACCGTTCCCCAGGGAGGTAGAATTATCAACAATTTAAAGTTTCACTGGCGCTAGGCCTAGTCGTCATTTGTCTACATTTGAAACTCTTCGTAAAATAGTGAATTAAGTTAGTTGCTGCACCAACTTCAGTGTCTTTTTGTACAATGCGACCAAAAGTAAATTTTCAATTTTGTGCATCGACAATTTTATCTTCCTATCCGCTGGCTGAATTGCTTATTTCTGCGTACAAGCTCTAACTTTGAAAAAAAAATTAATTCTTTTTAACTGTACTTGTTGTTTAATGACAATTTTTTTTAGTTTTTATGCATTTTTCCCTTGCTTCGAAGGGGAATTAAATTAATTGAATCAGAAATATATCTCTAATGAAATTCAAAAAAATAAGTTTAAATGAAGTGCAGCAAAAAACGTGTATAATTTAACAGACAGCACAAGGAAGACATGTAGTGTCCACATCAGATATTTTTAAAAAGTCATTAGGTTCATTCATAAAGAAGTTACTGAGGTGCTGTTTGACAATCTCCAAATAAATGAACTCCAGGCTGTTCAGAGAATTTTGAAATAGTATGAAAAGATGAATATCCAAGAGGGAACGGTCTAGTGAATATAAGGGGGGAATTCCTTTTTTAAAATAAGTCTTTGTTATCGAAATGTTGGGTTAATCATTGTCATGGTGGAAGACAACAGCTGCAAGATCGGTCAGTTCTGGGCGCTTTGCTTCAAATTCGGCTTTTAAAACTATTTGAAATAGTATTTTCCCGAATTTATTGCCTCAATTGGTGGCTCTTGTATACAGTACCTTCGTAGTCTCACTATGTATAAAGTATTACTTTTCAAAGAATGTCCTCCCTCTCGATGTTACTAAAAGATGTTCCTTTGGCCTACCTCGTGATATTTTTCTTATAACATTATAGTTACACTATCAACTTAACATCTCTATTACTGAAGCGTTTAAAAAAAGAAGCTTCTTTGTTTTTTTCAACAAAGAATCACACGCCAAATTTCAAGCAAGCATATTCTGCACTGATAAATTATGAGATATCCAAACATCATAGATGCTTTTGCGTTCTCAGTTTTTATTAAATGGTCATTTTCTCCCCCCCCTCCTTTTTTTTCTTTTTTTTTTTTTTTTTTTTTTTTTTTATTCTGTCTGATAGTTGAGCTGTATAACTTTAAATTTCAGTGATAGTTTCTTGTAATATATCCCTGTTCACGGAAGATGGTCGTCCACAGCGGACATCATCTTTGAAACTGATATCCCAGGTTTAAGCTATTCAAACAATCTTCAAATTGTGTCCTCAAAAACAACACTTTTCCATAAATAGCACAAATTTTGCAAACAGTCTGACCAGAATGTTTTAATTTTTTGTTTAAAGAAAAGAGCATAATATGATGAAAATGAATTTTTAGATTCTACATTCTTATCACGGCAATGAAATAAAAATTGTGATAATAAATTGAAAATAATACAGCGTGAGCAGAAAGACCGTTTTTAAAACATCCGCTTTGATCGAGGTCCCTTCTATCAGTAGTAACAAATTAATTAGAAGAAAATGCTCTTCTGTTTAAAAAATCTGAAAATTTGTATTGACGACTAAATTTTAAATATTTGCATGAGCAAATTTATTCTCATTTACATTATTTATATACTGTTTCTTGTATTTATACTCATACATATACATATAATGGAAAAAATGTACAGATAATTCTTGTCACTACGTTTTCTTTCCTCCAAAAATTTTGGCACAAATACTTTTAATACTATTGTTTAAATAGTTTTAAATTACTTTGATGGCCAATTCTACTCCTGTTATTAACAAACGGGCCTTTTCGTTTTTCATTGAAGCTTGATCGCCCTCTAGCTTGAAGAATTACGACTTTTATTAACAAATGACTGTTTTTTCCATTTTACTCTTACTTTTGTAGCCATGTTAAGTAATTTTAGCTGAATTAGCCATTTTCACTTTTTGATGCAGTTCTTATTCTTAGAACAACTTGACTGACGCCATTTTGAACTTTTTCCACGTCTTTCGACCCCCTTTAGTTTTTAGGGCGGGTTCCCGCCAACGGACAGTCTTTTCACATTGGTTGTTGCCCAGTGACTTTCTTTTCCCCCTTCTTACGTCACACGACGAGTAGGAGAGCGTTGAAAAACACAGAGGGGAATTACAACCCCTTTCAGTTTATGCTTCACGATAAAAAAGACTGCATAGCCAGAGGTCTTTTTTTTTTTGTTTGTTTGTTTGTTTGTTTCTTTTATAAAAAAATTTTTTTCTTGGTCTTAGCAAGACCCACACTGTTAGATTTCATTTAAATTTAATTTCAGATTTCTAAAATTTATAAAGTTTTAATTCTTTAAGCTTGCAGGTCCAGCCCGTACGTTATTGTATATTTTGACTAATAGCAGACCGCTATTTATTATTATTTTTATTATTGCTGTACTTCGGAGTTGCATTTACATTTTTTACACCTTAATGTGTCATTTTGTGCGGGCGCGTCGGGAAATTGGAACAGAGAATTGAGACTAAAAAAAATTTTTAGGACTTATCTAATTAATTAAAAAATTTCGTAACGCAAAAGTTTCAATTGTCTGTTTCGGCGAAACGCGTAATGGAGTTAGCTTGGCTCGACGTTTAACCAGAAAGTTCCCTTGAAAAGCCATGTTGGACCTCGAATTGAGCTAATTTACCATTTTCCGCTTTGTAATTTTTATATGTTTTTATTTGTTTTATTAGTTTTAACTTGTTCCATCGATTGGTTTTTTATATGTTTTAACTTGTCACATCGATTGGTATTTTACTGTATTTTTTGCCTTTAACTTGTATCCAACGATTAGTGTATTTTACTGTGTTTTATATTTTACATTTTATTTCGCGTGTAGCCTAATTTTTCACCCTTCAATGTCATTGTTTTTTTAAAAAAAACTGTGTTGAACTTTTTCTTGGAGCCACAGCTCCTGGTAACTTTTTGGCGAGCTAACTACAATTTCTCTTCTCATTTCCTTAATTTTGCAGCATATTGCGCAAAACATTTTTTGACCAAATTGGTCTTTTTAGTATTGTACTTACAACCTAGCTTATTAATCATACATATACATAGTATATTTCCATACTCATTTAATATATTTATGATCATATATATATAGTATATTTAAATTAATATACTTACCGTGGGTGACAATATGTCCACAAATACAGCGCACATTAAGCATTCTAAGAGCTCCTGTTCCATTTCAAGAACTTCACTAAATAAAAATTTACGAAAATAAATCAAAAGAGATCGAAGTAACAAAAGTAACAAACAGATTGAAATAATAAGTTCAAAACTGAAAAATAACTTAAAAATATGAAAAACATGAACATCAAAAACCTGAACAAAAATTATCTTACCGAAAATGAACCATTTTTTTCTTTTTTATAATAACTATTTTAAGCGACTGGCCGCGCAATTGTTTGTTTTATAAAGTAATTTTTAAAAAGTATAGGTAGTTTTATGGGTTATTTGAAAGAAAATCTAAAGTATCTTTAAATAATTAATACAAATACTGAAATCAGAAATTTTTTTTAATTATTTAAAAATATTAACCAAATATTAGAGAAATTTTTTTGTATGATGAAGTTTGCTTTCCAAAATATTTTTATTTGCTGCTGTATATTCTTTTTCAAGTATAAAGGAGTTCTCTGTTTTAAACAATATACATTACCTTCTTAGGCAAAATAATCTGCTTTCAGTTTCACTTATCAGTTCAACTTTTTTATAATTATCCTTTGATAAATCAGCAACTCTAAAACAACAAAAGAAAAAATTATTATTTTCATTTTTTATTAAAAATGAAAAATGAATTAATTTTTATGCTTACTTTTTTAAACTAGCAGAGGAGGACTCGTAACTAGTCTGGATAAGTTGCAAAAAATTTGCAACGTCCCCCTCAAGATGTTCAGCATCACTTATGACTTCAGCATTTACATTTTGAATTTCCTTTTTTGTATCTTCTATCATTTGCTGCCTGACAGTTGCAGCATGCTAGTTAAAAAAAATAAATAAATGTAAACAGACTTTATTTTATATTTTAATGGATTATTACTGTTTATACTTAAATTTCCTAAATTATATAAGATTCAAGCTCTACATTTCGAAACGTGGCTAGAAATGGTACATTGTGTGTCCTGTGTTGCTCTCCCCTTGTCACGCCCGAAGAAACAGCGCACAATAGATATTTCCTTTTATCCAAAAGGTTGTTTAACTCTTCCTTGTGGTTTTCCTTCTGCATACTTCAGTTTACCATTTTTCTTCATCTGATTCATATTCTGATGATTATTTTGCTGCCGACCTGCACCAATATGCTTGTTTCCAGCAACACAAGCATCTCAAGTAATATAAATTTTTCTCACTTTTATCCACCATTTAGATCTAAAATACAGCTTTTATATGTTACATATGCATGTATGTATATATAGACAGAGAATATAAGGTTAAGATGAAGTCAGCTTTGTCCCTCAGTGTTGATCATCGATCCTAGCTACATATTTCCACTTGATAAACTTCTCGTATATTTTATGCAAATATTTTCAACTTTACGGGGAGCGAAAAGTCTGAAGATCATGCTGGTCAGTTCGTGCTGTTAATTTCTTTTCTACTCAGAAAGTCATCCATCAGGTTAGCCCTATATGGCACAACGTTATCACTGATTCTCAGGGTACCTTCATCTGGAGAGTGCCAGGTACGTGCTTTGTATCCTGTAACATCCGAGAAAGGGATCGGTATGGTAGGAAAGTCTTGATGGCTTGGGCAGAAATCATGTTCAACGGGCGTACAGATATTCACGTTTTTCTTTCAAAAGCTGTATGACTGGTGCTAGTTACAGAGAAGATATGTTAGAGCCTATGTACGATTTTTCAGAAGTACAACTAGTCCTGAGTTCTATTTTAAGGATGGCAATGGTCGCTCACTTACGGCCGACTGATGGATGATTTTCTAGAAAGATATTAATCGGATGAACTGAATGTCCTAATCTCCAGATCTAAACCCTACAGACATATACGGAACGTTCTCAAGAGGACAACTGCAACTCGTTTTCCTCTCCCAGAAATTTCCAATAACCTGAGAACACCTTTGCTACAAGAGTGAACCGACTGCCACAGAAGTTCAAAACTACCTCATTTTCGATGTGAAATCACATTGTGTATGGCTGTTAGAGGTTGCCATACCTCCTGTTAGTTCCCTTTATTTTTAATCTTGCAACCTCTGTTTTTCTGCGTCACTGAGCCCTTATACACGATCACCCCGGTGTATTATGATTGTTGTATGGTGGATGTTTGGTATTATATCAATTTAGGTATCCATACCAAATTTTATTGAAATCTACCCATCAGTTCTGGAAATAATTTACCAAACTTGAAAATTCTTTGAATCTTGAACACCAGTTAGAGCCCGCACCAGATACAGTGCAACCCGTGCGCCAGCGCCGTGTGGCAGTATTTTTTAGAATTTAAAGAAACGCTGAGCAGCAAAGCACTAGGAAGCAGAATTTGGGGACTGCAAAAAGCAGAATTTGAGGACTGCAAATTTTACTAGAATTTATGAAGTATCGAGCAGCAGAATTTAGTACCATAGAGATTCCAGTGAGCGGTTATATGCCTAGCGCTAGAGTTTAAATTTCCTCGAAGCTCGGGTCTGACCTTTCTCAGGTTTTGAGATAAATTATAATTTTAACCGGAGAACACGGAAGCCGTAAATAAGACGACTTAGGTACTTTTTAAAGTAACTGAACTAAAAATTCAGCATAATTTATTTTTATCTCAAAATTTTATTTTAATAAGTAAGCCATAAAAAATCGATTCTAATTTCTGAATGCATATCTTTCTCTGGGAATCAGATCCTTTGACGGAAGCTGAAATTTTTAAGGAGAGATAGACAATGTCTTTGACCCACATGTCAAAGACTTATTTTTCAGAAAATGCAATGAATTTATGACTGCGGGTAAAGATTTTGCTCCCGAAAGTACTAGATGGGATCTATCACCCTATTCGCTCAGAAGGTAACACTAGTGATTTTACACAGAAAAAAGCACATGTAGACTTCTTATATGTAACAAAACAGGAGAGCAAAAATTGTCACTCGCACAGAACTTTCAGTTTGCTCTCAGCTTACAGATCAGCCCTCGAATTCGAAGGAAATTTTTCCGCTATCACATTCTGCTTCACAGTTATAATAATATAAGCAGGCAGTCGTGGTCAGAAAATGTTAGACTCTTCAATCTTTATTTTCATACCTACACCTCACTGTATATTCAAGAGTTTAAATACAACCGCAGCCCGGCTGAGTTATATCTCAATTTTTGAATGGAAATATAATTATAGCCGAAGCAATAAATAAGTCAAGGTATTTTATTTTATTATTTAACTATTCATCTCTAATTTAATAATTTATTAAGTTTTTATTTATATCCTTACTATTTTATTAAAATTTTAATTATTTAATTTATTTTAGTTAGTAATCGATTTATTACCTTAACTGTTAGTTATTTAATCAATTATTTTATATATTTATTTTGTATCTCTTTTCAAATTTCCTTCCATAGGACTCTAGTACTTCTAATTTTAAAAATTAAAGCCTGTCTAGAGCCACTCCTGCCACCAGTACATATGAAAATGCCAGCAAAAGCATCAAAATGCTTTTTGCATCCATACTTCACTTAACACATTTGACCTATGCTTTACACAGAATTAAAGCAACGATTAAAGATCTTTTCTTTTTTTTGTTTATTTTATTTTGTGTTTGCCTTCAAAATGCAATATTTCCTTAACAAACAAACCCACTATTACAAGCTGAAGAACATGTCTTCCAACTACTACTCAAATTTAGAACTGATTCCAGAAATTCGCAATAACTTTTCAGATGAGAAGCTGTTGTCATACATATATTTTAGCAACTCCAGAACTGCCGAGTGAATTAGTACTCATTTCTACGTATATTAGAAAACATCCTAAGATAATAAAGACATTTAAAAAGCGAAACGAGGTTGCCTTTAATCAAAGCGTTAAAATTTTAATTTATCTTTCACAAGGCCTCGTAAATAATTAATTCTCAGAATGCCGCCATTTCTTCCATACTTGATCAGTCTGTAATTGTTTAACAGTCTGAGCTGTTTAAAAGTAGTAAATAAATATAATTGACTTGAATCAAAATCTATTTAATTTGTAATATATCTAGCTGATAATTTTATGGACATAAAAAGCGTTATTGCCATTAATAAATTTCTTATGCTATATTATATTAATCCCTGGCACAGAATCATTGATTTCTATTTGTATCATATTTTTAAATAAATTCAACTATTTGATCACTTTTATAAGCACACCATTAGTAAAATAGAAACAAGACACTTCGAGTACATACACTGTGTGCTCAGTTATAAAATAATCGTTTGCCTTACCTCCTAAAAAGAGTTCGTCACTTTTTTCTTCTAAATACGGAAAAGAGGGAGTCTGATTCGCTGTTTAGCAATGTGAATTTTTAAGACGCAAGATAAACTTACATCGGCCGGGAATCGAACCCGGGCCACCCGCGTATCAGGCGGGCATTCTACCACTGAACCGCCGATGCTACGGTTGGTGTAACAGTAAAATTCTTCTTGAAAGGTAAGCAACCTAGTTAATTCAGATTTTGTGATTTCTTTTCCGGATAATCGTGACGAAAGATACTCTTCGCGCTTCATTTCTTTGCTTTGAATATGAAGGAAGTAAAATAATTTAAACACTTCCTTTTAAACTCAGCTTAAAAAATAGCTTGTTTCTATGTAGTATTAACCCCATCTGGGGTAAAACTGCCTTCAACAGTCGAAGAGTTTCTTCGCAATAGAAAGGGTATTCACTGCAAATATTTCTTCTCATTTCGTTTGGAACAACGTAAATGGTCGAGTAAACTTCTTTTTGACATTCTGTTATATAATCTACATTACTTTGTTCTTTTTTTACAATATTATTGTGAAATACTTGTGTCATATTATGTTTAGACTTTCAGGTAGATATAACTGACTTAGCATTGTTATTATTCCTGGAGTAAAATTTTAAGTGATTTGAAATATATTAATCATATTCGAGTTTTATACTTAAAAGCAGCACATTGTATTACGTCATTACGTATTACTTGGCTTAAACTTTTAAAAAATAAGCTTTTTAATTTTATAATTTTAAAATTCTTCTTACTCTTAATTTTTTTAATTAATATTTTTTTTAATTTAATAAAATAAACGCGTAATATGAAATTCAATCCTTTTTTTTTTTATTAGACACCAGAATTTTAAAGAAGCTGAATTTTTTTTCTTATAAAATTTTAAAATTGTTTTAATAACGGTTAAAGACTATTATGTATTATTTTATTAATATGTAGCTGAGTATATAATTATCATGTAAATAAATGTAAAAAAGCTAATAATCGCCTAGTATTGTTAATATTATTTATTTCATTTTAGATTATTAATTATATAATATCTGTTATTATTTTTATATGGTATCTATTATTACGTATTATTATTTAGTACTATACTGCAATTTATTTAGTATTATTTATATATAATATCTAGTATTATTTTTTGGTATCTATTATTATTACTTAGTACTAGTATAATGCAATTTATTTAATATTATTATATTATAATGTATTTAGTATTACATTATAACTTATTTAGTATTACATTATATAATTTTTATTACTATAATTAATTGGTATTATATTACTTTTTATTTAGTATAATATTATCAAATTTAATATTTTATGCTTAACATTATTTCGTTTAGTCTTGTTATTTTAGCGTAGTTACTACGTTATTTAAATGTTGTTAGATAAGTCACCATATTTTTAATATATTCAGTCTTTATGATATCCGGGCTCACCAGCGGCCGAGCGTAAAGTCGCTAAACACTGGTAGTTCGGTCCGAGGTTCGAATCCCGCGAACGGGCTGGCTGCATGGGTGTTTTCGTGGTTTTCCCCATGTGTAACGTGTATACGAGCCAGTTTCCCTTAGAAAGTCCTCCACGAAGGCATCCCTCCCCTTAGGCAGATAGCCCTAGTGTGCTTTGCCATAATTAAATACACCACACCACCACTTTATGATATCCTCACAGTGAATTTAACGTATTCAGTATTTATCAGCAAAATTCATCAGATACCTGAAATATTTCCATCGCATATGAGATTATTATCTCGTTCTTGACACAAAGCCGGTGCCAGATCGATGACACTAATTAGACCACATCGGGAGGGAAAATTTTTAAAATTTGAAAAGTAAATGCGAGGCAGAATTTAGGAGTCTTACAGTTTGCACCGAGTGACACAAGACTTAACTCCTATCCAGGCTTGCTATTTTCACCATATATGTAAACGAATATTTGAACTGTTCTTGGTGCATTCACTAAGCACGTATAATATGTCCACCAAGTGTGCTCACCTTGTACTTGCAGTGCACCAAGTATTTAAAATGTTCATCGTGTAATTTATATGTTCATTATATAAAAGTGAGTTTTAATAAGTTACCGTCGAGTGTGGCTAAATCCAGGCTCCGGGGGTGGTCTAGCGATCTCCAAATGATTGCTGGGACGGCGCTTCGATCGCAGCCCATGGACATTTGTGGCCTCCTTGAGTGTTGCTTTAAGATTGGTAACTTGCTCACTTGATAGATAATACTTGGTACTGTTTTTGATTTTACAAAAGTGCCTTATCATCACACACTGATTAGTATGAAATTCTTGTTCGATTTTCTGAAGAAAATTGTCAGAGATTAAAACACAGCTTATCGCTACATTGTTCGACATGAAAATAGTCTTAGTTCTTGAGAACTCACTGTTCACTTCACGTTCTGTTAGTTCATATGTCACATGAAGCAGCACAAATTTCTCTGTGGATTCCACTAGCCGCTAACTTTTTTGTCTTGGAGAAACTGTTTAACGGCTCACGCTTACACGCAAATTTGGTATTTCTAATTCATAGTGATAAATACTGCTACTGCTATACCAGCATGAAAACAATATAGCAGGATTATAGCGATTTTTAAACAACTTAGCTTAATTATTATTATTATGCTATAGCGCACATTATATCTGTGATAACATTTATGTGATACCAACTTCTCCTTTTACGCTCTGTTCCCTCGTTTCCCTCTTTCTTCTACACAAGTTCACTTTAAATAAAGAATCCCTTATCAAATTATTACATAGCATCGACCCGCCAAAGCTGTGCAACAGAACATGCTCGCCAATGAAGAATCTATTGCTGAACGTAATAGAAGTCACCATCACAGCTTAGGCATGTCCCAGTTGAAGATGTAATTTATTCCTCGCATTCCGCTGATTTCCAGAAATTCAAATATGCCCTTCTATTTCAATCAACTTCAGTTTTCCAGCCGGCTTAGATTTGTTACGGTTATCAACAAAGCACAGTGTCACCTCAGTAATCACTTTATGTAAAAGGTATTAACTTGGAAGCACCATGTAATTTAGAAACATCATATTTTTCACATGGGCAATTACATGAGGCTTGCTCAAGAATCGGCAAGCAGGATAGATTGATTGTTTGTTCACTTTAAATCCGCTCCTGGCGGACAAACTGAAAACATTGTTTATCAAGCTTTGTGGTGAAAGGTGCGATAAAATAATGTTTGTTTTCTATCTAAATAAAATCTGTCTTATTCGAGCTTGGTAAAATTTTGCACAATTTATCTCGAGCCAAAATAAAAGGAAAATCACTGTCTACCAGAGATTTCAAAACAGCTACCTACATCCCTCTAAATAAAGCCTATTCACTCTATGTAAAATCAGGGCAACGTTGGGTATTTCAGTTAGAACTCACAACAAAAGTAACAGTTCAATACTGAAGACCTGAGAAAAATCACTTTGTGTAGTTTACAATAAATAAAAAGTATAACTTGCGTTATGACTAATCTCACTTGTCTAACAAGTCCACGAATTTTATCACGACGAAGAGCGCAAATTGCAATTGTCTTGCCATGAGCCTTGAGCATCTCATAGATGGCACTAAGACTGTTTTGAGTTCCGACCTAGTTTTGAAGGAAAATACCCCAAGCAATGAGTTCGAGGGTCTCCCAGCTCTCTGCTACCACCAAGCCACTCGAGACACTATACACATACAAGCATCTAAGCCTTCTCCCATTCGACCACAAGCCCAGTGATAGGGCACCCAGCTGCACTAACCACTGTACCTATCACGGCGGCATCATAAAAATTAGTATAAATATAGATGAAAATAATCACTGTCTGCATTTCGTTGGAATTAGTCCAACATTGTCAAAGCGTTATGCTTATTGTGAGAATGACGCTTTGATGATGTTAGCGTAGTCCCAAAGAAACTGCGATCAACGATATCTTCTTCATTTATGCTGATTTCGAATTGAACTACTTTTTGTTCATTAGTTCAATACTGGTTATAAATTTTCAGAAAGAATATATTTACCTCATTTAAAAGAATTTCTGTGTTTCTGTTGATGTAATCAGTAATACTTCTGTCTTCTGAAGAGTGAACTAACAAAATAGAAAAGTTGAAAAAAATGTCTATATTAGAATTTTAAGGGAAGCTGCTTTATTTCACAGTTTCATACTCACAAAAAAAAAAAAAAAAAACTCATATTTCACATTAAAAAAAGTTAACAAGTGCAAAAATAAACTGTATCTTCAAACTGAAGTTAATATAGCCAAACCCCACTATAATGAGTCACACTCGTTCAGAACGAACCCGCGGTTATAACGTACGAAATTTTTTGCCACATTTAATTTTCCATAAATATGATATTATTTTATGCGAATTATGGATGCTTTAAATGTATAAAATAAACTGTGACGAGTTTGTTGACTGTTTGGAATAAAATGTGTCTTTGTTTTTCGCAACTTTTTTTGTGTGCTAATAAACTTCCTTGAAGTTATCAACCTTACAATGGAAAAATTACCAAGCCTGGAAATCAGCCATATTTAGGCTATTAAGATCGCGATAAGAAACTTTACATTACTATGAAAGGATTCATCGCTGATGTTTGCCCTCCTTCTTCTCTAGTTTCAAAGGAAGTCCTTTCAAGAAAAGTGCAAAACCCCGCTTTTGAATGGCCAGGACAAATAGTAAGCATATTTAAAGAAGAAATAAGACATTTTTATAGGACTCTGGAGACTTAAGGTCTGTAACAAAATGATCTCCCTTTCCAATTTTTCCGTGTAGATGAATTTTTTTTATCTTTTGATTTAACTCTCTTTTGTCTGTACTGTCTACGCTGGTTAAAACTCGTCGTGTCAGTAATTCCTACATACAGGGGACTGCAAATTTGAAGCACTTGTATTGAACATTAAATAATCTTTATTAGATAGTACAAATTAGATGGATACTTACGTATTACCGCAAATACTTTAGTAGATGTCGCAAAATTTTCAGGATGTGTCAAACTCTAGAAACCATGCTCATAGCAGTGTTTCAGTCAAGCATCACCGCCACTTTTATATCTTTTTTTTTTTTTTTTTTTTTTTTTTTTTTTTTTTTTAAATTTCAAGTGACAACAGTTTTTATAGACAAATCGTGATATATTTGTCTTAAATTCAGCTTTAAAATATGTGCTTCTAGGATTTCCGAGCAATGGAAGAAACTGTGGTAAAAGTTCTACTAGAGTACAGTATTTGTGTAAAACCGCTAAAGAAAACAATTATCAGATAATTTTGGTAGATAGCCGGTGCACATTGCTGACTTTATTCAGTACTCTGATTTCTTTTAATCGAAAACAGTGTGCAGAAAAGCGTTAAAAAATTAGAAAAGGATTTTACGAAAAATATGTTTTTAATACATATCATAAAATCTTTATTTAAAATTTTAAAGATTTCTTTTATTTATAAATATATTGATAATGTTTACCGACTTAATAAATGTGTATAGTTTGGAATTATTTTGACAAGTGGCGAAAATCGCTAACTTGCACCTGATCATAATTTTTACATTTTCATCTGTAAAAGACCCGTAGCAGATTGAGCGAATAGTTTGCGTTAATACATAAGTACCAATGGATGTAGCCAAAACCTTTTTTTCCTGTAATGAAATTTATCTGAACTTATACTTGATAGCATATAAAAAATGGAGACTCGTTAATATCAGCTCATGACAAAAATTTGGAAAGGAGGGAAGATGCAGAGCGTAAAGTTACCAAAAGAAAAGCACTGCTGAAACAAATTAACCTATTATAGAAATCACAGTCTGCTTAGTACCTGGCCAGATACTTCATATAAAAGTTGACAGATTAATCAGACAGTTTGAACAGAGCGTCCTTTTACTGAAATGGCTGGTTGGACAAATTCAAAAGCGGAACATATATTCTTCATGAAAAATTGTTGGAGAATCATGAAAAGGAGGGAATTGAAATGATGAGACTGCAATAAGCATCACTATAACGAGAAAGCCATTTTCACTGCCAATATAATTGGGTTGTTTCATAAGACCCTCAAACTGATGTTAAAATGTAAAAACAAAGTCTACGCTGGAAAATTCGCTATATTTTTGGCACACGGAAACAGTTTGGTTTCTAAGCTATTCCAGTCACTTCTGGTGATTGGAATAGCTCAATAGTCAAGTTGTTTAAAAATTCAAGAACCTATTCCAGCAAGAACCTATTAAAGGATGGAAAAATTTCAAACTAATCAAATAAAATTTTCAGCCAAAAGCGAAGGCTTTTGTTTTGTTTAACTGATAATTTTTCTGCACACATTAATGTGGGAAACTTAGTATATATTAGAATTGCTTTCCATTACATGAATAATAATTTCTTTCATGCAACATGAGAACTAAGGGATAATCAGTAGTTTGAAGCATCAATGTGAAAAGGCAGCTGATGGAACGCATTTAGAAGATAGGTGACAAATATTTATATTATGATTTCCACCTTCTTGACACAAGATTAAAACTAGAAAACTTTTAGCGATTTTTCATAGAATCTAAAATTCGAAATTGTTTTTCATGTTCTATGTAGCAAAGTGCACTGAGGAGACCCATGAGAAAAACGAGGATTTTATTGATCTCAAAATTGTTAGAAAAAGACGGCATTCGGCATATGGAATATGAAGTTTTTTACTTTCTTGTACGAAGTAAAAAGGAAAGTACTGTAATCGTGAAAAATTTCGGGTATCATATTTCAACGCAAATATCCATTTTTACCTCTATCGAATGCAATTTAACGATGTTTTTGCTTAACATCTGTACGTAAGACAGAATAAAGAAATCTTTTTCCCCAAAAAATTTATAAAACTGATTTAAAATGAATTTTGAAGAGATATTTTTCGTGGCATATAAGTACAGACGCATGTATCTATTTACGCATGTATCTATTTACCTACGAATGTATATTTTCATGGATGCATGCTTGCACATATACATCGTAGGATTCCTCACAGTGTAAGTGAGTTGCTTTGAATGGAAGAATCTAAGAACTGATAAGCGAATAAAACGCTAGTTCGTGTGACAGGAAACAACAAGAAGAGGGTAAACTAGCCTATTTTCCAACTAAAGTAAACAACTCGTTTGGAGTGTCATAAAGAGACACTGGTTGAACTTAGAGACTAAGAATAATACTAACTATTACTAAAGAGATTAGCCGAACCTTCAAGATTTAACAGTGGGCCCTAATTTATAGTATGCGAAGTATCAAGGGCTAAAGTAGGCGAGCGTAATAAGCTACGGAGAGTAGCTTTAAAGGCGGACGTGTGCAGCAGAATACCTGGTATCTCCTCTCTTAAGATCTATGAACTCGCGGTAATACCGTCTTCTTCGTTATGTATTCAGAGATTCTAAAATACGTTTGGCCGGAAGGTAGTGAAGTTAACTTGCAGGAAAGGAACTAACGCAAAATTAATGTTCATAAAATAAATAATCTTACAATATTTATGCACATATGTACATATACTATATGTACGTATGTATGCAAGCATGTATGCACGCGTACATCGCATGATAGAGTAATAACAAGTCGTAGTATGCATGCATGCATACACACAGACAGGTATGTACATATGCATACATGTATGTATGTACGCTGGTGGACAGTTGTTCAGGACATATAAACGGCTATATGCACGTTAGAAAGTAAGTATGCTTCGATGCCAGGTGAAATAAAATAATGCCTAATACTAGGACATAGCAATAAAGATAATTTAATCTCTATTATATAATTACTCTAAAATCAAGAAGGCTTTGAAAAATGTTCAAGGGATAAATTCTTATTAATGTTGAATAAGGAAAAAATGCAATACATCCGCAGGCTTTGCGTAGATGTCAGTTCGGGGTATGATCACTATGCAAGGCGATGTAAGATTCCAACTGGTGTGCCATTATTTTGCACACCGTTATCAAACAGCTGTTGGAGTAATTTATCCCATTCCTCTGGTCAGTGCACGGATGAGGATGTCTCGCTTACTGGAGGGCTTTATCGGCCAGCAAGACTCTTCCCAAAGCATCCCAAACATTTTCAATAGAATTCAAATTTGGAGAACGTGCTGGCCATACAAGAAGTTGAATGTTCTCGCTCTCTAGAAACTCCTGGACAGCGACTGATCGATGGCATGTTGGGTTGTCGTCCATGAAAACAAATTTGTCACCGATAGTACCATGGAATATGCGAACATGAAGCAGCAGAATATCCTTAACGTGTTGGTGGCCTGTCATAGTCCCAGCTGCACACCCTTAGGGTTCGTGTGGCATTGATCCTGTTGGCCAATACCATGATACTGCATCTCGGATATCAGTCCTTTCCTGAATATTTTCTAAACGATACGTAGTACCACTAGTACGCCAGATCAGTTGGCGTCTATAATCAGGTAACAGATTAAATCTACTCTTATCTAAGGATTATATACAAATCCGTAGTATTGAATCTAATTATGATGCTCGTGATACTATTGCAGATGGGTGATACGTTGCTATCTGGACAATGTAACAGGATGGCAGCGTATAGTCCTCCTTGATGCAAACGTATGGCTACATGTTTTCGGAAGATTGCGTGCCATAGCAGCGCAGTAACTGACTTCGTAAAAGCTGAGTGAGCCGTTCTTTTGTCGATAGCACTGTATCTTCTGCCGGCGTCCTACCGCGAGTGCGATCTCTCTCGTGACATTTGCTACATGGTACATTTGTTTGAAATGATTTTCAAAGCCTTGAAATAACGATGTGGCTGACGTCGAACTCTCTAAAATATCTTATTTTTCGATCTCTTCAATCTTGCAATAATACGACCAGTGTAAAAATTATTGCGTGATGCAAGCAGAATACCAAAAATTTCAAATGATGTTTCCGTAATTTGCTTTGATAGCAAGGTCAAACGCTTACACTTTTCTCTCTTATCATGCATACGTATGAACAACTTCGGCATCTCACTTGCATTCGTACAGCGCGTCTTATCGTGTGACGCAATTATGCAATTCCACATTTCGTGCCTTCTATTTGTGGTGCGATCAAGTACTAATCGTGTTCGCATTGTACCCAGTACATCTGGCCCTGTATATCTTACACCACATCACACAAACATTTTTTAAAAAGGACAGTTATATATCTCCAGTTCAATGGGCCGATAGAAGAATTTACTGCGTTCTTCAGTCTCTGAAGAGCACTTAGCTATGTATAGATTTATACATAGCATTGTTCTAACATAGGTATTTTGACAAGAATAACTCACTAGGCGAAATTCTTAATTTATGGTAACTTATTTTCCTTTCCCTTTTTCCATTGTGCACGAGAGGAAAAAGATGTATACTTGATTCTTTCAAACAAATTTTAAAAAGTGCATAAAGCACATTTGGCGTTATTATCGCTTATAACAAATATGCCAAATTTCGAAATGCGCCAATATATAAATTCATGTATATCTTTTGAAAATTTGAATAAAAAATATTTTACAGGTATGCCTAGAAATACATCTACTTTAAACTGGCGGAAAATTTTATAGGTAATAATTCAAAAAATTCGAAAATTTTATAAAAATTACTAAAAAATAAAAATTTTTAAAATAAATCAGAAAATATCTGCAAATTTTGTTTGGATTGAGCATAAATTTCGTACACTGAAAGAAGCAATCAAATAAGTGTCATAAAAAAGAGATATTAATAAATATATATGAAACTGAATTAATATTGAGCAGCTGGAATTCTGAGATTTAATTTTTTAATAAGTACTCGTACGACTTTTCAAAACTTAGCATTTTGGTATAATTTAAGTAGTAGAATCGAAATATGGAAAACGTGGGTATGTTATTTCAGAAAAAAATCGGATTTTGTTGCAAAATACCTATGTTAGAACAATACTTTATATAAATCTAAGATCTATAATATTTTGAGGACGGAACATAATCTCATATTTTAGCCAGAAGGTGTACAACATGATGGTGTGTTTTAGTTCTACTTTCATAAATATTTCAGTTCCTCAATTTACATGATCAAAGCAAGATCTATTAACAAGATTATGAGAATACGATTAAGTTCTATTTAGCTAAGTGAAACGCTAAGTTATCTTAAGATGGATAATTTTGAATCTTTCATTATTTTGAGGATATTATTCATAGGAATGCATTGATAAAAAAAATTTTAAATCCCATGAAAGCATCTCTGATATTCGAAAACTAAAAAAGAATGTTTTCAATACTTACTGCTCTTGGTTAGTTTTAATATATAATCAGGATCAATCAAATTATCTTCCATATCTCTCACTGCGCACTGAACCAATTTAGCTTCTTTCTCAGCTAAGTCTCTTAAATTTCTCATTGAAATATTAAAAGAATCAACTTTTGAATTTGCTGCAGCAAGGTGATGTAATTCATTTTTCCAAGATACTTTCAAATTCTAAAAGTAAATAATTTTCATTTCAGATTATGCCTATAATATAATTATAATTATTATCACGTTATATAAAAAAATAAATGAATTTTTATCATAAATATATTGCTTAATAATGCAATTTTTAATTCCCCTAAAATACAAACTGCAAAAGAACTTCAAACGATCTTTCACTCTTAAATCAAAAGACAGCAAGAGAAAGAGAAAAAAGGCCATAGATAAAGAAATATATACAATAGAGCGTACATTTGTTTACGGACACTTATATCTTTTAATTTTATTCACCAGCATCAGGTGCTAAATATTAGTTGAAATGACCATTTTTCTTTCACACATGCTACTGACTATCCTTCTTAAAATCGTGTTATGGGAAACGGTATTCAGGACTTTTTTGCTTTAAAAAAATTAAAAGGTTAAAAAAAAATAATTTAGTCAAAAGGATCTGAACATGAACTCACGTTAAGTAGTCGCACACTTCGATGATCTTTTAGCTAAAATTGCATTCTTCATTTTTTTTCCCCCTGATACTTTTATATTTGACATTTACTTGCATGGATTTTGTACTAATAATTTAAACACACCAGATTTTTTCCTACTGTATTGTCTTATCTCTATTTTAAACATTACTGATTATAAAATAAATATCATCAAAATATTCCTTATAATAAAATAATTTATTCAACAAGTGTTATTCATCATTATTCGGACAAATGTTAATCATCATTATTCGGACAAGTATTAATCATCATTATAATGATTCTTCATAATTTATACTAATGTTGTTGTTTTGTCCATGTAATTAATGGAAGAATGGTTGCCAGAGCGTCAGGAGGTTGGACTTCTACTTCCACCTCAATTTCGGACAGCACCCCGTGCGGGCCGAGAGTCTCTCACCCTCTCTTCTACCACCAATCCAGATGAGAGGACTTTCGTCTCTCCGTATATTTAGAGCACCCGCATGCTGCAAAGACACTATACATTGACAAACATCCATGCCTTCTCCAGGATTCGAGCCCGGGCCCTTCGCTATTGCAGTAGGGTCCCCTAATCACTATACCGTCTGGGCGGCATCCATACTAATGATTCAGACACTCGAAAATTTTGTTCAGATATTTGAGTGCCTGAAGAAAATCAGATAATCACTATCGATTACCACTCAAGTTTCTTTCTGTTGCTAGTCGTTAGCGGGCTTGCTTGAAGATTCATGGCTGTTCTGTTTTATAAGCTAAACTTTGAGTTCATTCTGAGTGGAATTTCTCAATTTGGTACAGTTTGAGTATAGGATGACTGTATTGGCGATTTTCTGGCTTGCCACACTTTTCGGATGGTTGTGTTTCTGGGACCTAGCAAATTCTAGACTACTCCATTTCGGCAACCCTGTCGCATTCCCGCGTGTTTTAAACTGGAAAGAGTTATTCGTTTTGCTGGAGCGGAACAAGAAGTTGCTTCTCTGTGAGCTAGTTGTATTGATTTTTTTTTAATTTTGATTTCAGTTAATCTTCCATAAACGAGGTGAGTGCAAAACTTGGCGAGTGTTTATTTGGCGCGATTGGTTGAGCGAAAGTAGTTCAGTGTGTTGAATTCCACAGGCGATATTAAATTGTATATTTTAGTGAGTTGATGCATCCATTGTTAATGATTTTGAATATATTTTCTTGGTTGACAATTTTGGAGTCCGAGGAAAGCATTATAGGTAAAATCCTAGTATAGGGTGCAGCCTTGGCGCGATTTTGAAAATAATCGCTAACACCAAAATGACCCGTTTACTACTCATCATAAAGTCGCCAAAAGTAGCCTAATCCCTTGTGCACCGGATACTAGGATTAAACCGCATTATACAGTTTATTTTAGAAGTTCGTTTATTTCCTTCAATTGAAACTGATGTGGAGTGTCGAAAATGTTCTGCGAAGATGGTTGTTAATAAGGATATGTTTTGTGTTTCATTTCGAGTCCTTTTCGTTTGACTATGTTAGATTTTACATCGCTATTTCTTTTTGCAATTGGAATGTGAAGTTTGATATCAAAAACGAAAATAGTTTGGCGCCAACTTACCCCGCTCATGGAAGATTAGCCCCGATCCCCTTATATTTTCTGATTACCATGCCATCTGTTTTAAGTATTATTGAGAAGATTCATGGATTGTTAATAGGAAATTTAAAGTTTGTTTTCAAATGGAAGGATGACGTTAGGAAAGCCTGGTGTAGCGAATAGTCTGTTCCTTTTGCATTTATGCCAAGATCAACAATTATTCTTATATTTCTTAAAGGAAGCAGGTTTAATAAAGGAAGAATTGTATGCGTGAAATGTAATTCTAAATTGAAATTTAAGATTAAAAAGTCGAAGTCAAATGGTTTTATGCGAGTGTGTAGGAAAGTTACGGCAGGGAATGTGGATCTCAGTCAATGATATGGGTCAGGGTTTTCTAACAGTAAGCTGAGGATGGATAAATATTTTCTTACATATGCTCAGGGACTAAAACTGGAGCTGTTCAAGAGGAGTATTTTTTGATTTCTAATACATTAGCAGACTGCTCATATGCAGCTTGGTTGCTGTTTTACTGCCAGATTTTATTGCCAGAATAGTTATATATTTCACTGACACGTAGTGCTTCAGTTATGTCAGAAATTCGTATAGTGATGCAGTACAGTTCACACTGCCACTAAGATTACATATGCTCAGTATGATGGCTGTCATACCAGTAGAGGGTATTCATGGGAGAAAGTTCAGCTATAATTCCATGTCGCATGATGGGAAATAAAAATTGTTTCAGCATGGCCATTAATGTCAACTGACCTCTTTATAGCTGCGGTTTAAAATAGTCATAGTCAAAAATCATAAGGTAAAACCTTGGTGTCTATTCGTGCAGGTTAGAGCAATTCAGGACGTGGACATTTTCACGTGTCGATTAAACAGATGCTGGACAGGATTTGGGGGGTGCAGCGGCACTTCATCGTGTTTCAGTGAATGTTATATGACTTATTCTGGCAATAAATTTTTTTGTTATTAAAAAGGTCCATTATTATAAAGGTTATTGAATTTGTTCCCTCCTAAATTTTTTTTTTTTAAGGTTCTTGCTGATGCTGAAAACGCAGACAGTTTCACCTAAAAGGTTTTCAGTTGGACATATTGCTTCTTCCTCTTACTTCTGTGTAGTTGCAGAAAATGAAACTTTAGTGTCTCAAATGATTTTACTTCGGCTGTTGCGTTATTGGTACTTTATTACTACATTATGAATATAAGCTATCCAAAAGAAATATCTTGTACTTCTAAATTTTTACAGCATTATTTGTTTTTAAATCAGTAGTAAAATACCGAGCAAAGTTATGAATCTTCATAATAACATAGCATTAAAGTAGAATATTTTTGTTTTCATGGTTTTATAGATTTTTTGTGCAAAATTCAAAAATTTTAATTTCAAGCCCACTTTTATCACGTTTTTCTGAATTTGAATGATATTGCAAATTAGTTCGCAGCAATAATTAATCTTTTATTTATATCCAATTAAATTTTCATGATTTTTTTAATTTAAATTAGCTTTATACGAATGATAGAATATTTGTTAAATTCATATATATATAAACAAACATAATATATATATATGCAGCAATCAATGTAAAATATTTCTTGAGTTATTAATATTCTTGTGTAACAGCTTTGCATTATTTCAATATGTTCTTCCTTAATGCTTTTCAATGATATTTTACTATTGTTTTTTCATTATCTTATATTTTTACATTTATGTTATCGAGAGATACATTTAATCTATAAGAAAATTAAACCTGCTTTTAAATAAAAAATATCATTTGAAGCCTTGTAAAATTTACTTTGTGTCATAGGTATGCATGTTACATTTTAACATACCTATATAATACATTTGGTGCTACTTTGGTAGACGGTTGCACGGATTTTGGCGATTGTTTGGCGATTTTTCTTTTGGCGAGTAATACGACTTTGGTAAACCCATTGCTGGATACTTATTTATGGAACCGATACTTGTTGTCATTTTATTTTTAAAATAATGCGTTTTATTATGCATAAATTCCGTGTTTTAAATATTATTTATGGCTTCAAATATTAAAAATCAATTTAATTTTGCATTTTTATTTGAAACAAAAATCTTGTTTGTTTATAATATTTTATATAATTTTATGTTGTGGATGATGTAATCATGGTCACCTTACTTAAAAGTAATTGGTTTTATTAATATCTATAAATTTAATCTAATGTTTTAAACATTATTTATGGCTGTTAAATATTAAAATACATTTTTGCATTTGTTTTAAAAATAATTTTATTATGAACGATTATTTAAATAATTTAATTCTAGGCGAATGATTAGCTTTCTGATTGGTAGAGAATATTGTGCATTAACGAGCTCAGCTCCCTGATGGTTGCTGAAAATTTGTGCATTACCGCGCCATTTTAAAATTTTAATTCATATCTTCGAATCCTTCAAAAATGTCTCCTTCAAAGATGAATGTTGTTTTTGATAAGTACAAGAATTATTGGTATCGGAATCAAAAATTGTCCTTTGAGACCTTTATTTTGGCCAGCCTGGCTTTCCTAATCAAAAATTTATTTATAAATTCTTTCAAGGGTCAGAGGAAATTTATTTTAAATTTTTTGAGGAAACCTCGACACAATGAGATCGTTAGAAGAGCCCATTTGTAACGGCCGTATATGTTGTGGTCTGTTGAGAATAATCGCTGTAACGGTAAGAAAAAATTAGACATTCCTCCTTTTGCCGACAAGAACTATTGCTGTAATTTTAGCTTTAAAATAATAAAAAGAACGCTTACGGCCTACTTATTTTAAAGTATTTATTAAGTAATATTTAATTCTGAACGTTGTGATGATGGTTTTTAATTCGATATTCAATTACGAAAATTTTAATCCAATTAAACGTTGGCGCAATGTTTTTATAGCGGTATTTTTATTCTATTTTGCTTTATGAAAGGAATAATTTAACTTTATTATACTTTTTAAGTATTGATCTTTAAAAAACAACGTTTTCAACAAAAATTATCTATTATTTTTAACGAATTTATTTATTATTTTTTTATTTTTTTTTTTTTTTTTAATTTTCGAATACTTTACTATGCGAAAATAAAACCTGCTTTTAAATAAAAAATATCAATTGAATCCTTGTAAAATTGACTTTGTGTCATAGGTATGCATGTTACATTTTAACATACCTATATAATACATTTTAACCTATACTATAAATAAAGTTCTTGAATAAAAGAATTTTTTAAGTAATATTTGTAAATCTCCAGCAGTTTAATCAGTTTATAAATGCCATGAAGTGTGAATAAAAGTACGAATAATGCATAGAATAATTTATTTTTTGTATCTAATTTTAATCAACTAAATATCTATTAATTAAACAGTAGAAACAAAATATAATTTCATTTTAATGTTGGTAAAATGCCTCTTTCTTGTTTGGATTTAAATATTGCATAATCAGATGTTCCTGGCGGAGTCGATATCAATAGCTGAACACTCCATCGGAAGTTCTACAAACAGGCTGCTTTTAAAATTTTATAATTTTACTGTTGAGTTTTATGTGGCGTAAGTGCGAAGAAAGTGATGTTCAATACTAAAATTAAAAACACGAAATAGGTCGTTTAGGTCATCTTGTTAAGAAAACTGAATATTGGTATAATGAGAAAAGACAGAAAAATTAATGGCAACGCTTAACACTATGCTTGGGATTTTATTTGTTGCTTTCACTGTTGAGGTTTATGTGGCGTCAGTACGAAGAAAATCATGTTTAACAAGAAAGTTAAAAAGACAATTGTGTTACCAGGAGTCACTCCTATAGCAGATTGGTAAACTGCCAACTCAGAACCAGAGGGTTTCTGCGGTGCGATGTTAAAATCTGAATAATTTCTGATTTTCTTGTTCTTTTTCTTTGTTATTAATATTATTATTTTGTTAGTCCAAAAGGGCTTGTCGCTGAAGGACTATTGTTTTCGTTTTGCGATTTTGCGTCGAATCACTCACTTTTCGGTACTATTCGGTTTCGAGAGCCGTAAAAAAATTGCAGCGAAAATGTACGCGCGAAAGCGCCAAATCTAGCAAACGCGCCCATTTAACAGCGCGCCAAATCTAGCTTCCTCGCTGCTGATTTCAGATTGCGTAAGTTTATATTGTTCAATATTTCTTAAGACGCCATTGAAATACTACTTTAATTTTTAAATCCATTTTTGATATCCTATGGATTTAACAATTTGGGAATTGCCCATGACAAAACTCGGCAATAAAATTTTCGGTAAAGTGCAGAAACCCACGCTTGACGCGTTTTTAGAATTGCACATACTCGGTATCGGTGCACATCGACCTATTTTCGCTTAAAAAAAATCTAGAATTACACAAAAATGGCACTGCGCACCCTTGACTTTATCTATTACACAGACCTATTTTCACCTTAAAAAGTAAAAGAAAATTGACAAAACCATTGTTTTTACATTGCAAAAGGGGCAAACAATAAGTGAGCGATTCTGCCTTTACCGAGAATATTTTCAAGAAAAGGAATTCATTATAGAAAATTTCGTTTGACAACCAACGAGATGAAAATATGCTTAGCGATAAGTCGTACGAAATAGCGATGCAGGCATCTATCAGTTATGTTAGCAATTTTATATAAATTAAATAAGATCTGAAATAGTTATTTACTCTTCGCTTCCATTCAGTCGTGTTAGCCTTTTCATATAATTATAATAATAAAAAGTATTATATGAAATAACCTTTCATCTAAATTAAAACATCAATCTTAAATTTTTTACTATTATACTTCCTTTCTTTCCGCAATTATTGGGTTGCCGCAATATTTTTGGCAGCATGGCATCAACATAGTTAGCGATTTTTACGGCCCGAAACGAATAGTACCCACTTTTTAAACTGTTGCCACCCCAATATATCGACCTGTATTATACTTGAAAAATTAAATAAAAAAAAAAATCTACATAAAGATGTTATTTCTCGCATTGTGATAAAACACAGCCACGAATTTGAATGACGTAACCTCCTGCGAAGATGAGCATGTGAGACCAAATTTGAAATTGGAATTTGTTCTATATCCTTTCATATTTTGTGAAACTTTACGAATTTTTGAGTGAACGAACAGGATTTCAAGCGAGAAATGGCAAGTGTACAGAAAAAACATTTTTATCTCCAGCGCGTGAGACTGTGTATCGAATATTAGGATATGCTCAATTAAAATTATTTTATGATATTGCTCTTGCTATTTTATGGTTTAAGTGCAAAGAATATGATATTAAATAAAGTAAAACTCAAAAGTTAGAAAAACGCCTTTCGGATGAATTAAAATCTGTTAACCTTTCAGATTTTTTTCAATTATTATTATAATTATTTCAACTATTTATTATGTGGTTTTTAAAAAATGGCAACATAATAAATAATTGTTTTGTGCGCTCAGTAGAGGTTTTCTTTGATATTTAACAAAATTAAAAATTATCCCATCTAATTTTTAACAACTAATGAGTAGAGACATATTAATTGTTATCAAAAATTAACTACGCCATCATATAAAAAAAAGTCTTGGACAAAACCTTTAGTCTGATATCTGTGAATTAACACTGAAGTTTTAATGGAAGAGAAAAATTACTCATTTATAAAATACTTAAAAATAATAAGTCAGCTGAATTTTACCTGACGCTTCTGCATTTCCATTTACTTCAATATGCACAATTTCTTTTTTTTTTTTTTTTTTTTTTTTAATGAGCCACTTATTTGAATATGCAATTTAATCAGTGTACGACGAAAATTAAGAGGAGCACAAAAACATAAGCAGTACTATAACTTAATTAAATAACAGACTGCATAAAATACAAAATTATTATTGCAAAAGACATCCATACAGCTGTTTATTAACAACATGACGTTGGCATAGCAACAGCAGAAGCGATAGTAGAAGTTGAGATGTTTCGGTGCTGTCTCAGAATTTTGACAGGTGGAGTTACAACTTCGTTATTTTTCCGTTTAGTAATAGCGTATTCCCGATTATCCGGGTTGAGGCAGCACCTCCTAACAGAAGGACAGGGATCACAACAGTTCACGGATAACTGAATATTACGGACATTAAAATCTATCAATTTTCACGCGTATTCTTGTGTGTGTTTATTTGAAGAAATAGTAATTTTACTTTGTTTTTTAGAACATTTAAATATATGGCGATTTGCATTGCGTATTTTTCGAAGTACTTATTTTATCTCTGTATTCGAATTCCTTTTAGTTGACGAAGGGCCCTATTCATGACATTTTTAACCACAGCGTTAAGTCAGATTTACGGAATCACGTGCTACTCTGACGTCACAAGTAGTTAAATCGCAAATATTGGTATTCTTATCAAAGCTAGCGTTAAATTTGACCGTTAAATTGACGAGACGGCTGTTAAAGTAAGGACAGGTCTGACCCTTCGTGTTTTAAATAAAGATGGTTTAATTCGGCAAAACAGGGAGGGAACTCTTTGTATAGCCCACTTCAAAGTTTTGGCGATTTGTTTGGCGCCAAAGACATAATACGGTTTTGAAATGTTGCCATCAATTTTCGACGAAATCCGTGTTTCGAAAAATGGCGGCCATTTTGATTTCACCAGAATCGTGGATAATAGAATAAGTTTAGACTATACACTATTTTAAGAGAAAGAAATATTAAAATGATTAATAAAAAGTTAAGGTTAAAAGGATTAATTTTAAAACAATACCGAAACCTTAGCTATTTCACTTTTAATAAATAATTTGGTGTGACGTCACAAGATTCTCCTGATACGCGTAATTTCTATTTCTTTTAAAAAAAAAAGAATTGTTATTATTGTAAATAACATCAAATTCTTCAAATTTCCTTTCTGAGCTTAGGCGTCAAAATAGTATAATAAATTGTTTATATAAAATTATCATGATACAGTAAGCGAATTCTACCAGTTATTACAACGATAAAGAACATCTCAGTCTCTCATTACTTGTATTTCATACAGCTTCAGTATTTTCAAATATTTTTAAGCTTTAGCATTTATACAAATAAAAAAAGTTTTTTAATATACTCAGGAACATATCATTTTATCATTTACAAATTAACGTTTTGCTACGTAACACATAATCCCTTATATACCAGTAGACAATTTCACTATTTTCTAAAAATTTTAAACTCACATAATGAAAAACAGGTTCTTAACTTCTAAGTCACATTATATCCTGTAGGCAGGCTACTAGAATTCTACACATAAATAAATAAAAAATTTAATTTCTCGCAATGAAAGAAAATATGGCACAACTTTTGTATAGCCCACTCGAAATTTTAAATAAAAAAAATATCGCCAAGAGCGGCGATAAAGGATATGATCTGGTAACCCAACCGCAATGTAAACAAGAGGATGGAATTACGGTTACAGCTAATTTAGTAGTCAGTTACATTTATTCAATTTCAATACAAATTACCGACATATCCGTTTACTCAAAGTTTAATGCACGTGCCCTGTATTCTTACTTTTCCGGTATAGATTTCTCTTAAAATTTGTCTCACGCTGCGTTGCAGGAGGGAAATACAACATTTTAAATTAGAATTCTACTAAAATTAATATCTAAATACACAATTCGTAACACTGTTATTGGCGATTGTTTAACGCTCAGATACCGTGAATACTATTTTGTATATATTTTTTGGCTACTTTGGAGGTGATATTTTTGCGTTTAGTTATTGCTTGCTCTAAAACTGCTGTTAGTGATGTTGTAATTAAGTATCAGGAGATATATAAAGGAAAATTTAAGGTGGGAGTTTTCAAACAAGCGTAAAATTTTGGGAACAGATATTTTTATGTATGAATTAACAAGAGAGTATGAACTTTTCAGAGGATTTTTGATGGATTCTCGATTATTGAAGGATAACGTTTGCTGTGAAAAATGTAAGATACCATGCTGGTTAGTTAGTCAGAAAAAGTCATCGAATGGTAGTATTTGCAAGAATGTACGGCTGAGAAATCAATTAAGCTAGGATCTTGATTCGCCAGTAAGTAAGCTCAATTTTTCCAGAAACTTTTTTTTTTTTTTTTTTTTTTTTTTTTTTTTTTTACAACGCGAATCAATAGAGTTGCTTATGCGCGAATTTCTGCAATTCTCCTATTTCTTTTAAGTGAAAGCAGATTTCTTAGTATATGAGCAATGCAGATTTTATTCAATTTCTGATTTTTAAGTGAAAACAGATCGCTATATACATGGGCAAAGCCGAGGTTGTGCGCGGTGCCTAGTTTGTGCAATTCTAGGATGTTTTTTTTAAGTGGAAATAGATCGATGTGTACATGGGCAAAGCCAATGTAGTGCGCAATGCCGAGGTTGTGCGCGGTGCCTAGTTTGTGCAATTCTAGGATGTTTTTTAAGTGAAAATAGATCGATGTGTACATGGGCAAAGCCAATGTAGTGCGCAATGCCGAGGTTGTGCGCGGTGCCTAGTTTGTGCAATTCTAGGATGTTTTTTTAAGTGAAAATAGATCGATGTGTACATGGGCAAAGCCAATGTAATGCGCAATGCCGAGGTTGTGCGCGGTGTCTAGTTTGTGCAATTCTAGGATGTTTTTTAAGTGAAAATAGATCGATGTGTACATGGGCAGGCCAATGTAGTGCGCAATGCCGAGGTTGTGCGCGGTGCCTAGTTTGTGCAATTCTAGGATGTTTTTTTAAGTGAAAATAGATCGATGTGTACATGGGCAGAGCCAATGTAGTGCCGCAATGCCGAAGTTGTGGCATTCTCTGATTATTTTTAAGGTGGAAATAGATGGATGTGTACATGGACACGAGCTTTGATGTTTTTCTCGAGCGAATACGGATCGTTGTGTATAAAGGAAAAACGAGATAATGTGTGATGACGAGCTGTAATGTAACGTATTTTATATGCAATGTTTAACATATCGTTTGTGTATTTTAAATTTGTATTGTTGTTTTAATTGTGAATTATATATTAAGACATCATTTTTCATTTAAATTGTATTTTTAATTTTTTGGTTTTGATATGTTTATAATGCTTTCCGACTTACGATATATATCGATAGCCCGACGATCTACTCAACAGTAGCAAAACTGTAAACTTTGACCCTATAAGTAACTTTTACCTCATTATTATAATACGGTAGTGTTTGCAATCGTAATCGCACTTGATAATATGAGTTCTTTGATAATACAGTGTCTCACAAAAGTGATGGGCACTTGTGCTTTACAAAAGGAAACTGTAATAAAATAAATTAAAAAAAAAACATGTAAAAATTTTTGTGGGTGTGTTTTCATACTTAAATTTAGTAACAATTATTACATAACATACATTTTCTCAAAATATTAATTAATAAAAATACAATTGTTTAGAACGGAGCAAAAATGGTTCACATAAGTGATGGGACACCATTCGATACTACTACGTACTATGCAACAAAAATCGTCTGAAGAGTAAGCAATAAAAATATTTTTTGGGTTTTTTATTTTTACTCAAAAGCAATTGGCAATAATTTATAAAATCGTCTGCAGTATTTCTCTCCAGTTTGTTTTGGAATTTTTGTGTTTTTATCTCTGTGCAGCCATGAATGCTAAACGAAAAGAAACTTTGCCTGAAATTCGAAAATTAGTTATTAATTTGCATATTGAAGGTGGAAAATTCTATTAGAGAAACTGCTGAAAACAGTTAACCTGAGTCATTCAACAGTTTTCAATATCATTAAACGATATAAAAAGAATCATATGATTCAGGATAAAAAAGACCTGGCCGACCCATCAAAGCTATTCAATGGAATAAAGCGAATTATCGTTCGAAATATTAAAAAAAAAATCCAAGAAGAGTGCTCCTAAAGTTTCTGCTGATTTACAAGCATTATATGGAGTAATTGTTAATCCTGAGACTATTGGAAGAGTAATTCGATCTGCTGGATATCACGGTAGAGCAGCCAGGAAAAAATTCTTCGTGAGTGAAAAGAATAGAAACCTCAGACTGGCTTTCGCAAAATCAACAAAATAAGAATTCTGATTACTGGAATGAAGTTATATTTGCTGATGAGAGTAAAATTAATATATTTGATTGACGGGAGAATCTTGGTGTGGATAAAACCCAGGGAAGAATCACAAACAACCATTACTTCAAAAACAACAATTAAAATAGTGCTTCAAGAAGAAGGGGAAAATACTCTAGAAATCAAAAAAATTAGTCGAACCATCCAGAGATAAATCATGTTTGAGGTAAAGGAAAACAAAAAAAAACTTTTAAAAGTAAAATGTTTGATAAAATGATGGAAAGTAAGTGTCCATCAATGAGTGAGCCCTTTTCTGTCCGTTCTCAACAATGATTTTTATTAAATATATTTGAGAAAAGTATGTTAGTACTACTTGTTACTCAATTTACGTATGAAAACACCCACAAAAAATTTTAATGTTTTGGAAATTTATGTACTACAGTTTCCTTGTAACCCAGGTCCCATACTTTGTGAGACATGCATATAATCCTAGGGTTTTATTCTTAACAAAAGTATGTTTGTGTTTAGATAAAATTATTTAAAATTTATTGGTATTTGTATCCCTTATGTTGCCTTTTAAAGCTTAAAGATTAATATTACCTTGGCAAGATAAAAATTTGGGCATCATATCTTCCGATCCAGTTTCCGATTAGATGATAGTGTCCTAATTGAGTATTATTTTTTTATACATTTTCGGAACAGCTTTAGTATAGCCCACCTTCAAAGTTTGGCGAATTTGGTTTGGCGCCAAGGCACATGAAATACGTTTTTTGAAAAATGGTTGCCATCCAGATTTTCGACGAAACTCCGTGTTTCAAAAAATGGTAGGCCATCTTGATTTCACCAGAAATCGTGGATAATAGAAATAAGTTTATGACTATTATACACGGTTTTAAGAGAAAGAAATATTAAGAAATGATTAATAAAAATGATTAAGGTTAAAAGGATGTAATTTTAAAAACAAT